GGACGATTCCTAATTCTTTTCTTTTCGTTTTTTTTTTCTTCTTCATTTCTTCTTTTAATACCGAAAATTACCCCTAATCCTTCCCATGCGACGAGCTCTCGGTTTTATCAAACGGCGGCAGTCGCACTTGGGAAAGTATACTGTTCGAAACGCGACGCGGCTGTCGCAGTTTTAACCTGATTATGCTTTAATATTTAGTTTGACGTTCTGCTTTGAGCGCGGTCTCGCGCATTCCGGCGTTTCTCCCCGTTTTCTGCGAGGTGGCACGTAAGGGGTGAGATTATTTTTAAATAAAAAATTTTAAATAAAAAAAATACCAGGTTGCCAGGGTCACATCCCTTGGGTACGCATTTGGTATTCACATTTTGGGATATTTATTACGTCGTAACGTTTGCGGCGCCATTTTTTCCTGAAAAATCTCTCTCTCTTTTTCGAGGCTTTTGCCCCTTCCCCTTTGGCGCCGATTCGCGTTCGATACCAATCGAACCTATCGTGCCACCCTTTGATCGGAAACACGTGGACTCCTATCCATCCATACCCAGGAGGCTTCGAAAGCGCGACATTCGCATAAACCGCCTTTACGATTGCGAATTCCTCTCTGATTAAATTCTTCCCCGGAATTGCATTTTCCCCCTCTGTTTCATCTTCCCCGCGCCGTGTTTCCCTTTATTTTTTTTTTCTCTTCCTTTTTCTTCCTTTTCTTCCTCTCTCCTCTCCGCAAGAGCTACATCCAAACGTCACGTTTATTTTACGGTCCGTCCGGCGGTTTCCCTCGAAATCTTCCGCTTCCGCGATCGCACCCCCGACCACCCCTGGCGAATTTCTCACCCCTTTCTTCTGCCTTTCTTGCGAGGCCTTGTTTTCCCCTCCACGGTGAGACGGCTTTTCTTCCCTTCCGCGATGCGACGTGTATATCCACCCCGATTGTCGCTTTCTCCTCGCCATTATGTCGAATCGCGTTGACCGACACGAAATCGAAGATAATCACTTAAACCACCCTTTCGGGTGGTTCGATCAATCATTTAGATTTCTTGGAAATATGCCATAAAGTTGATGTACCATGCCTGAATGAAAAACTTCCCATGAGAATGTTTATATTTTATGAGTTATCAGTTGAAGTACTGCGACATGGTACTTCAGCGGGGCTGGAAAAGTTGCGTTTGAGGGCGATTACGCATTTTGAGGAATTATAGGGAAATTAGACCGCTGCTTGGGCAGCGGATTTTCGCCGAAGTCGTAACGCGCTTCGAAAGTTGTTGGACCAACTCGTGACGGTTCCCTGGCGTTAAACTAAGTTACAACTCGGGACAAACGCCTCGGTCTCGTAGGTGAGACACGGATTTTACGCTAAATCCGGGCAATATTCCTGGCGTATGTTTCCGTCGGCGATCGCGCTATTATTAACGTCGGATTTGCCCCGGGCAAACTCCTCGGCCGTGCGCGGAGAACTCGCGGATTAATGCGGTTTTAATTAAAAGCCCTTAATTTAAAGGGACACTCGGCTGATATTATTAAAGGGCCGCGGTGATTGAAATAACATCATTTCAAGATACTCCTATCTTTCCCCTTATCGGCCTTTTCGGCCGCCACGTCCGAGGGATGCTCCTCCAAGCCGAGGGAACAAGTGACAAATTCTCAAGTGAAATAACGACCGTACTTCGTTATCTCCGGAATGAGATGACACGGTTTCCGACGTACCGACGTAAAATCCCGATTCTTCTCGGGTTTTATGACGGAGCTGAGTCGATAAACTCCAAGATTTCCCGATAAACGTGGGAATAATCGCCATGTGTACTTTCCCCAGTGATTGGGCTATTTTTAGTGCGGAACTTGTCGATTTTTCGGTCGATTCTTAAGGCGATGTGAAAGTGACGTCTGAGAGGTCTCGTTTATGAAACTTATCTCCGAACTGGGTGTGTCGAATCGTTTTAAACCTTAGTGCAAGAATTTAAAGAAAAAATTTATTAAAATCGCATAAAAGTCCGCAATGGTCGGGTTTCAACTGTTGGACTCGTTGAAACGATCGCCAAGCCAGCTTCTGGTCGGAGTCGATAGTTCCGTGGTATGAGCGGGCCTAGTAATTGGGACGCGAGTTATTTTGCGGGAGCGAATCCAAGTGAAAAGTTTTTCCCCGCGAATGACGGAGCGTCGCCGAGAAAATTTTGTTCACGGTCGTGCCCATGGCAAACACTCGACGCCCCTTGAAAAGCGTCCGGAAATATTCCGGAGGGTAGTTACGTTTTTCGAGAGGACGGGAAGGTATACGGATCTCTGCACACGGGGGTTAGGATTCCTCCAGGAGGGGTAGGGAGGCGTCCGGATGCGGAAACTCGGACCGGCGCTTTCGGGGGCGGTAATTCCTGGCTCTCGTTTTTCTGGGGAGACTCCACCGAGCGAATCACGATGAATCAAGCCCGGGAAAAGCGACGCGTCCTCGCGTAAAACGGCCCTACGTCGGCTGTTCGACGTTATACGAGTACCTTCTGAAACGACGTTAAACGCCGTTACAGGGTGGATGTCTCCGCCGTAGGCTGCGCATAACGAGCGAAGAGCATCTTCTTTCCGTGCCGCATCTCGTTAAAATATAATATCACATTTTAAGTGTATATGCATATGTACAGTTCTTTACGTTTATTTTTTCCGTGGAACGCGGGAGCGGGTGGTGGTCGCCCTCGTAAATTCGATTTTCCGGGCAAACGGCGCGCGTTAGGGGGGGAACCCTTCCCACAAAAAGTGGCCGGGGGATTGCGTGGAACAACGTTTGTCCGGGACTTTTTTCCATATTCCGCCGCGTTGACGCGGAAAATCCCAGCGATCTGCCCCTCGGCGAGATTTATACGCGGCGCGCTTCTAACTGCCTCGTCCTTAAGGTCGCGTCGTTCGGGAAGTTTTCCTCCTTAGGTTATTGAAAATTTCAACGTTAACTTCGAAACTTCCGGCCCCGCCTCCCAGGGAGTTTCCGCGTGTCGTCCCTGTCTTTCCACCGAGACGAGCGGGTAACTTTTAACGAGTACGGGAGATATACTTCATCGGTCGGGTTGGTTCTACCTCCTGCAAAAACGTCCGAGTGTTGGGAAACATTCCACCCGCCCTCGCGGGAAGGACTCCCCGGAAAATTCCCTGAAAATTGGAAAAGACCCCTGCCGCCTCTGCGACTTGCTTCGCCATTTCATACACCTTTATACTGTTCCCTGGGATCTGATCAAACTCCTTATCCCATTTACCGAGTTCCCTTGATTCGACGTTTGCATCCCTCGTTCCATCCCTTTTCCTTTCGCAATTCTTTCCACAAACAACGGAGATCACATTTTCCCGTGTCTTAGGCCGAAGTTCCCTCGCGGAACCCTTTGACTGGAGACCCAAGTAATACCCTCTGTAAGTATTTCACAATTAAATCGTATAATTAAAACTCAACTCGCTTGAAGTCAATTCAGCTCCTTATTGTATTTAGTCCCGTCTCTTTGTCACCGAGCTTATCAATTGCGGAATAACCTTTTAATTACTCCGCCGGGGGAGAAATTAAGGAGACGGAAGATCGCGCCTCCTTTCCTTCCTCTTTGTTAGTCTCGTTACCGTCGTTACTTCCTCGAGGCTGCGTCTCGCTTTGAACCAACCGGGGATAAATCGTCACCGGAAGGTACATTTACCAAACCGCGGCCTATTCAGCTTCCAATCGCAAACAAAGCGGAAGTTGGAATCCGGCGGAGAGACGATTCGTCCCATTTTGTAGGTATATAAATCGCGTCGCGTGCTCGCTCGACTTGAAATCCCCCGAAATATTCTCGGTTACCGAGAGTACTCGCAATAAAGCTCTCGATTCGTTGGTCGAATCGAAGTATTCGCTTTGCAGCCGCTCTTCATTTTAATTCCCCGTTTTTTGTGGCGCCTCGCTATTCGCACGAAGAAAAGGCGCGAAAGGGGTTCTTCAGCTCGGATGGCCGCGAGGGAAATGCAGGAAATCTCTTCCCTTTCCTTTTTTTACGCTGGCCCGGAAATAAATGCACTTAATTATTGATCAACTTTCGCATAGCCTCGCTCGCTCAGAAGGACCGGAAATGCATATATTATCCATGGCCCCTGTTCGCGCGCGTTATTCCCTCTCTTGGCTGCCGCTTAATTCGCCCCCCTCTCCCTTCTACAAAGTTTAATTGAAAAGGGCTTTTTCAAACCGGGGATTATCGTTCTACCAATCCGGAGCCGAGTGGAGCCAGAATGCGGTCGAGGGCCCGACTCATTGTGGATAAATTGGGCTGCGGGGTAACCTGATTTTGCAAACCCTGGATATATTTCGGGAGTTGCCGTAAGACCGCCAATCCTGGCTCGTTTTGTAATCCGCTGCGGTTAAAATATAAATAGCTTATCAAGTCCCACCCTCTACGTATAATAAGTTCGATCGTTACGTCCGACTGCGGTCTGTCATTAGAGCCGTATAAAATTACCCCGTCGGTACTCCTGAAATAAGTGTCTCGATTAAACGAGGCCTCCCTTGTTAAACGTCACTTTTCCTGCGAGATATTTTCCTCCTGGTCCTTTCGGTGCATTCGGCTGCATTAAATCATCCTCTGTCCGGGTCTTCTCCGGGAACTTGTTCCCGGGGACTTTCCTCTCTTCGGGATAAAAAGGGGAAGGAAAAAAGAAAAAAAAAGAAGAAAGAAGAAAACTCCGCATCACGGGAGTAAGAGAAAGTTCATTTCTGAGAGCTTTGAGAGTAAGAGAGGCACTCGAACCGCGTTGGGGAATATTCCTGGGGCAGGGGGAGAAAAAAAAAAATGTATTAGGCTTTTCCTCTCCTGCGAGACGTTTCCCTCCATCAAGCTCCCACTTAAGTTGTCCCTCCTGGTCCAACCCCGTGGTAGGGGGATTTTTTTTTTTCCTTTTTCTCCCCCTCGACCTCTATCTCTCTCCATCTTTCTCTGTACCCCTCGCGTAACTCCTCGTGGGTATTCTATCAGCTGCGATGGCACCAGGTCGATATCTTTACGAGATTTCTTGGGTTTCAGCGATGGCCGTCTCACGGAGGGCGACCAAATATTGGCGATAGATGGACAGCCCCTGGACTCGAACATCTCCCACGAGCAGGCGATATCCATCCTCCAGAAGGCCCGCGGCCTCGTCGAGTTAGTCGTTGCACGAAGCGCCCAAGGTAATAATCGCGACCCCCTCGATGAAAGGCCACCCCCTTCTCAGGGGATGGCCTTTCCTCCGGCATTATTCCCGCAGCTTTTGCATCCCGAAATCCCGAGGTTTGCGGGCTAAGAAATGATTTCCGAGGAGGGACCCCCGAGGGGCGAATTCCACCCCTCGCGTGTCCCTGTATATACAAGCCTTGGGAAATTCACCCCCCCCCCCCCCCCTAAGAGAGGGAACGCAATTTTGCTTATTTCCACGGAATTTCCTTTATTTCCCTCGATTTGGGGGCGGGAGAGAGTATCCCAGACGACACCGAGTGCACGGGAATCCTTTCCTCTTTCTCCCTTTTATTTTTCCCGGTTATCTCCCTATATCCGCGACCCTTGGAATTGTCCGCATCCGGGAAATATGTCGAATGAACGGACCTGACGGATAAGTCACATCTCAAAGGTTTTTCCTTGCATTTTTTGGCGGGTCTCCTCTTCTTTTATTTATTTTTTTCTTTTCTTTTTTTTCTCTACCAACCTCGATGGGGAAGTCTTGAAATATTCCGGTCGGTTGTATCCACTGCACTTTTCTTTGTTTCTTTAGTTTTATCCTGAGGTAGGGGGAGAATATTTTGTAGAAGAGGAAACAACGAAGCCTCGAGGAATGGGGGAAAATAAGACAGTTCTTTGAGCCACTTCGAATGCCGGGGGTGCATCGGCTTCGTCATTTATATCGCCCTCTATTTGCACCCCCGGGAGTATTATTCAGGAATAAGTTGCAAGCGTTATTGTTCCCATCCCTCGTTGCTCGCGTGGCCTCCCTGCTGCAATCGCATGCAGATTGCATCGAGAATTTGCAGCACGGCTCCTGGAGCAATGCCGTGTCCTCGGAATCTTTCTCCACGTTGGATCCATGATAGACCCGATAGGGACGTACTTCCTGGCCGACTAAACGAAGGCTCGACTAAAGCTGTAAAATTAATCCCGATTAAATAGGGAATATAGGAGATGGGAATTTACGAGAACCGCTTTCACGGAAAATTTACGCCCACGACGTGCGTTTAGTCCTCCGGAGGTCCACCGTATCCTATTCTCGTAAAATTTGATAAAAAATTAGAAAAATGCGCCGCACCTGTGAAAATGCACACGTACGTACGCTGATTTAATTCCGGCATTGTGCCCTGACCAGGTGATAATTCAGGCAAGGATTATTCTTGATTGAGTGGAATTGAAACAGGGTTACTTTAATGGACGTAGAAATATGATTTAGAAATAATTCCCCGGATCGGGGGCTTGTATCATGTTCTCAGAGATTGTGTTTCAGGTACGGTAATGTAGCTTCTCGATTGTCGAATTCATTGCTCGTTACTCTTTGGGGGGCTGAAAACGCTCCCTATGGGCATATTCCTCTGTGAAATCCTGGCGATCCTCAGAACGGAGCACGGTTCAATTGTTCGCCCCGTACTTTACCGTCCACTCGTTGCATGCCGGCACATTAATTATCATATGCGTCGGGTATATTAATTATCGCCGTGGAATACATATTCCACCCGTTACCGACATTATTCATAGGGTCTCCTGGATTGTCAATTCGGCGAGGGTATCGATATCCCGAGGAGAGACATTTGCATATGCCATGCTTCGACAATGCGATCGATCTCCATTTCCGAGATCGATCGAGCCCGGTCTCGCGCACTTTAAATAATTGACCTTCCCTCCTGCTTATTATCACTTTGTACCTGTACGGAGGAGCACTTCTTGCTCCATACCGAGGCTCATTACGACGCGTTTAAAGGCACGGTACATCTTGACACGGTAAGTGCTCTCGGGGGGCAACGCGAGTTCACGATGACGGTTCACCTAAAAACTATTATGTATATTACATGTTTCACCTGCATCGTCCCAGGATTACAATGTCCACCCTTAAGGGGAGATCAAGGAGCAAGAAAATATCCCGGTGCCTTGGACTTATTTATTTTCTAAGCGCGTATAAATATATATGTCCCTGGGGAGGAGAGGTGGGGTTATTCAATTTTAATGTACTCCTAATGTAATAACATTGTTCACGGGGAGCCGCGGTACCACGTGGACGATGTGCGGCTCCCCAGAGTGATACGTCACTGGGCGAATTGTTCCCCATTGTCCACAGGTTGCCGATCCCAAATGGAGAGATCGTTATCCTGGGAAGATGTTCCCGTGTCATAAGTCTCCATTAACTGGCCCCGGCACGTCCATTCCCGTACACTTGGGATAATCGAGGTTTTGCACCGCGCCATCCATTACGGCCCTGTATCAGAGGCCACGGGGAGGAAAGTTCGCCCGGTGATACGTGACTTCCTGGGGGTGGGTCATCTCGCGGGCTGCCAGTTTGCCTATACTCGACCGCACCCTTCTCTCCGGCACTCGACTCCGAAGATCGACGACTCCGTCGCCTTCCTCGGACAACCTTTGCCGGCATTTCTCTCCACTCCTCCCCGTGCCATTTTCCCCCATTTTTCCCCATTTCTATACATGCTTCTCCATTCGTCTCCATTCTTCTCCGGTCTTCCCGATTCCTCCCTATTTCTCCCGGTTTATAACTTCCACGGTGGAAATGTTCCTCCCGTGGAGAGGGACTCCAGCTCGGTACACGGCCTCCTGGTATCTTCAAGTCTCTACTCGACACCTAGGAACTACCCTGGCGGAGGAAAAAAAAGTATTCCCTTGAATGGTACCAGAGAAATGTTTTACTAATTTCAAGAATAATTATTTCACGCGAATAAATTGTAATTCCTAATAAACGTTGCATCCAATTCATTCGAGTTTACTCGAGTAGTTCTTTGATTGAACAAGATATTTCTTTGCTTCAATGGCATTCTTTTCTCCGGGTAGTAAATCCAAATTCAGCGAATAAGAGATGGTACGACTTATGGTTACCGGAGTACTACTTCTATTATTTATATTTCCCTCTTTTTACGGTTTAGAAGGGAGATCCCCGGTTTCGGGCGCACGTTCAGTACTTGGTCACTTTTCAAATTTGCGGAAACTTTCGCGACGTGTTTCGCGTTTCAAAGTCGATAAGGATGTACGTCGGAGGTAGTCTATCCGAGTAACTACTCGCAGTCTCTTCGACGGCATTTTTACGCGGTTTACCTCCGGGCGGAAAGTATTCCTCATATGCCCATTACTCGCTCGGTACGTGACTTGCTCGCGATTTCTTTTTTTTTTCCTTCTTCCTCTTTTCTTTATTTTATTTTATTTTCTTTTTATGTCTGGACGCTTTGCTTAGAACAGAAAATATCCCCCCGTAGAATGTTCCTCGTGCAATAACGTGACCTCACGACCGGTCGACGTCAAAGTCTGTCGTCTACTTTAATACTTTAGTTCTGCCGTACTTTACAACACCTGACCACGCTCAACCGTACTCGTTGCGTGCTTCCTCCGAGGATTTACGAGCCCCGTCGCCCTCCCCCGAGCCTGCTTTGGTGCCGTTTTCGTCGTTTCGCCTGCTGTCGATTTTTATTTTTCCCCCTTTCACGCCATACACGCCTTACGACGTGGCACGTAGTACCTAGTACGAGGCGTACGTAGGCTCGTTATTTTTTTTTATTTATTTATTTACGCCCTCTTCGCCCCATAGACCCCCCTCATGGATAAATAATCGTCCCTCAACTATTATCATTAATCAAGTCGTATCATCCGGCGCATCGCGTCACCCCTCCACCGAAATCATTTCTTGTTTTTTTTTTCATTTTAATTTTTTGCGCGTTTTTTATTTTTATTTTATTTACGCCCTCTTCGCCCCATAGACCCCCCTCATGGATAAATAATCGTCCCTCAACTATTATCATTAATCAAGTCGTATCATCCGGCGAATCGTGTCACCCCTCCAACGAAATCATTTCTCGGTGCCACCGAATGTGTTGGTTCTTTAAACAATATCCACGTTGTCAACACTTTTATCGCGTACAAAGATTACCGGTGGAAACAATCGAGTACTGGGTGGTGATACTTGGAAAGTAACAAGGACTGGCTGAAACATAACCAGGAATTAGGGTGATCCGTCTTTCGCCCCTGCATATGTACTTGGGGCGAAACTCTACCGCAGTCACGTGTAAAATTGTCAAATGATTCGGTGCATCTAGTTTGGAGAATAGTTTCATAAATATTTTTATACATGCATATAATATTGACACATTCATATATATAATATATTATATATATGTGTATATATAATGATCCTTTCATATCACCTTAAGCCTTCTTGGAGAGATTGCCGAGTCTGACTCTAAACGCTATTTCTTTTGCCAGATATTGGGAGCTCGTTGCCGACGGATGAGTTATCCGGGGCGTCGAGTTCGACAACCGCAGCAGGAGGTGCGGGATCCGTCGCCGGCGGCGGCGTCCCGGGTAACCGGAGCACTTCCGAGAGGGAGCCGTCCCTGTATGCCTCCTCGTCGGCCGCCACCCCCGTGCCGCCGACCATCGCCGCAGCCCCCGCGGCCGCCGCTGCTCCCCCTGCCCCCGCGGCCCCCGCTGCCCCCGCGCTAACACCTACCCCGGCCTCCACGCCGCTACCCGGAGGCCTCGTCGTCGAGAGGAGCCCCTCTGCCGTCAGCGACACCTCCAAGACTGGCTCTGACATGGTGGTAAGTGCAGGGGACCGACTTTACCGGCCCGGTTCCGACATCGTTCCAGGCGAGGGTGCTCGTCTATCGGAACTTCAGAATAGGCAACACACATTCGCGACCGCTGACGTGAATTCACGTCTTTTCAAGTTCCATTTCCGATTGCCGCTGACGTGAATTCACGTCATTTCAAATTCTATTCCCGATCGCCGCTGACGTGAATCACGTCCCGCTTAGTTGGCTCACTAATTGTTAATCGGCGGGGCGCACAAATTGTATCATTTTTATCCTTGGTTTAACAATACGAGTTTGCGGCAACCTGCAGCTTCGGGAATTTCATTATTTTCCCCGGTACTCGGTATTCGAAACGGAAAATATTCAACGGGTAGGGAAGGGGTTAACGCGCGAAGTCAAACGGAACCTCGGACTTGCCGACGAAGGAGTTGCCAAAAAGGAGGGCGACGTGACATTGTCCGCGTTAACCCCCTTTTTGAACCTCCCCCTTTTGTCCCGAGCAATTGGTTTCCATTGATCGCGTTTCCGAGGCCGGGGGAATTGGTCGAGGCAGATGATTGAACTTGATTGGGAGATATGAAGGAGGTGCGATGAAGGAAAAGGTGGAGGAAGGATCGCGGGGAAGGTGGGAAAATTGAGTGATAGGTCGAAACAGGACTTGGGGGGGGAGTTCCCATTGATTTTTTTTCTTTTCGTTCGAGGAACAGGCGGTATCATTAACCCGAATTTCGTCTAAGATCCTTCCGGAATCGGAGATCGGAGGAACACGTGGGGGATGTTTGTAAAGCTCCTCGGATGGGGAATCTCTCCCGTACTACCGAAAATCCAGATGTCGAAGCCGCGGCTTCCTGTAAATCTCGGTAGCCGCTCAGTCGTCGCCGCCGCCGTGTCTCCGGAAACGCGGAATAAATCCGCAACGCCCCGTAAATAACCCCGATGCGAATTATCTCCCTCGAGGTAGTTCACGTTCTGGCAAATCCGGCCCCCGTCCGCGAGCCCAGTCGTAAATAACCCCGCAAATAACGAGCTGAATTACTTTTCAACTCGGCGGGGGGTCGCGCTGGGGGGAACTGCAAATACGTTTGCTCTTTACCCCTACTTCCTCGGACCCTCGTGAATCTCATTTGCCTCGGCTTGATTCATCGTTTAGTTGGTATCACGATTATGGTCGGTATTAAATTTCCCGAGCTATTTTATTTTATTCCTTTTCTGCCGGTTTCCGGAGGTCCTGTCTCTGCTCCTCATCTTTCGAGGGTTCGCGAAAATTACCGACGACCAATATCGCTCTTGGTCTCGGCAAAAAATGAAGTTCCTCGTTATTGCCGGAATTTTATTGCGCCCCCTTTTTTTTTTTCACCCTCTTTTGCCATGTTTTCTCTGCACGTAGTCTCGAGGGCTCATCCGATTTCCATTGGTCGAGTCCCTAGATCGTTCCTGGCTGGCTTTCTGGTCGAACGAGGTCGCCGAGTTTTCCCTGGGAGAGCTCGGTTTTCCGGGTGTACGGTCACCATCCCCGGGGACCTGTTCGCGGACCTCCGGGGACATGTTCCAAACGTTTCCGGGATGTCCGCACGTCCTACGCTTCGTTAGGGCCGACATTTTCGGCATCGACCTTCGATGGGCTTGGACCTAATTTCATTTCCCAGCCGTTAGGGACGTTTCACTGTTTAACGTGCGCCTGATAACTGTTTGCCGCGCGAGTTTATCGGCCTGATTAGCTAATCACTAGTTTTTTAACTCGACTCGAGGAAACGCATCAATTTGGAAGCTACCGAACGGATCAATGAGACCATTTCTTGATTGAAGAAATAATTGTCGGGTCAAGGGTGAGACTTTTCGATCGCTATATTGTCGAGGGTGGAAAATGATGAAAATAGTGAATTGGATTAATGGATAAAAATTTTGTATTACGTACTATATGGACTATCGATCTTGGCTCGGTCTTGGAGAATGGAAATCTTCTAGTCACGAGAGTGGAGGACCGTTTGCGACATTTGATAAGGCGATTGAAATTGAAATTGAAATTCCGTGAAGTACCGTCAACCTCGATTGATAACGTACGCATTTGTAATGCTAACGAGTAGGGTGTTTTACCGCGGGCCAATTGTTTTGCGATTACGCCGTCAAAGTTAGGGAATAAATCGGTGTAACGACTACGACCGCAGTCGAGGATTTAGATGAGCCATGGTAATTGCGTTAACGCGCAAGTCGCATCTGGAAATGGATAGTCACATCGGGACTCCTTTACAAGTTCGATTGTAAGTCTCCCCCTTACACGAAGAGGCGTATCGGAACTCCATTATAACTCTAATTATGGGACCGGAGACCCGAATTCACGGATCCAATGTTCCAGTTAATACCCTCAATGATAGGATATGGTCTAATTACCTCCCCAGAATCTCGAAATATCGGTGTTCCGAATAATCGCGAAAACGAGGTCCCACCTTTCGCTCATTATTTCGAGATTCCCCTAAATCCTGCGGGAGTTCCATAAATCATATTTCCCGATGCCTTCCAACAGAAAATCACTCTAATCTCATTTGAGCGGAAATAAATTCTTATTATTCCGAATAAACGTTGCGTCCAATTTATTGGAATTTATTTGAGTCAGATATTTCCCTGAATTGACGAAATATCTCTTTGGTTCAATGGCATTATTTTTCTCGGTGCATCTTTATTATTAATTTGTGAGTCCAGGCTCTCGGTGGTATACGAGTTTAATGATAAATTCCCGGAATATTTTTTTATTTACAATATCCGATCAAGTCGAGGGACATCGCGGGGGTAAATTAACGCACAGGAGTTCTGCTTCCTCCGCCCTTAATTCACTTTGTTCGTCAGTTTGATAATTACTGGGAAATGATAGCCCCGTGAATTATCCCTCCGGAGTGGCGAATAAAGTCGGGAAATATCGCCGGTGGAAATTGAGGCAAGGGGGGAAAAGAAAAAGATGAAAAGGGAATAAACCCCGTCCCAGTCCGGGCGAAGGAAAAGAAGGCGAAGCGAGATTTGCTAATTGGGCCGGAGCGTAAATCTTCCGCGTAATAACAGGGGCGTGTTAAAACGCTGATCGCGGCTTACAGGAAGGATTATCCAAGTATTTCCTGCGCCCTTTCGACGGGAGCTTTCCGCAACGGGGATCCGAGGGCGGGAAGAAAGGGGGAAACCCGCGGAAAATTCTCCGCTAAGGGAGACACTCGCCGTTAAAAAAGCGCCGACGTTCGATCAGCCGGCTCGGCCGAGTAATCAGGATTTCCTTTTCTCTTACTACCTCTTTTCTCTTTATCCTTGCAGTTAAACACAGAGTGGGCACAAGTGGAAGTGATCAACCTGATCAACGATGGCAGCGGTCTTGGATTCGGCATCATTGGAGGCCGCAGCACCGGCGTCGTCGTCAAGACCATACTTCCCGGGGGTGTGGCCGATCGCGTGAGTGTAAAACTAGTAAAAGTAAAAGGAGAAAGAAAAAAAAAAAGGAAAACATTCTTACAGATTATCGGGAAATTATTGATTTTTAGAAGAAGGTATCGACAGAAACCGCCAATTTCCCTTGCACTGATAAAGAAGAAAAATATTGAAATTTTATAAATCTTTTGTGAGAGGTTTTATTCAGACGTGATATACTAATTTTATGACACTTCCAAGCAACATTTATAACATACGTTATAAATTGAATACGCGGGTGTGGTCAGTTTTCCGCTAAAATTGTCACTTCTGAAATTTGAGGAAGCTTTTAATATGACGCTACAAAGTTACAAGTTTGAGGTAAATCGTCAATGTATGATATTAATGCCCATCGAAGGACAGAAGATAGTCCCGAGAGTGGAGAAATTATAACGTGGCCGGCAATGGAAAGTTTAATACTTTCTACGGAGGAGAAAGGGTATAATTCAAGTCGACGACTTTTCCTTTCAAGAGATCCCCAAGCTCGAAAGGGCTTATCGGGCTAATTCGTCCGGACCTCTCCTTATGGAGAAGGAAAGTCGAGAAGCAGAGCGATAAGATCGATCGAGCTTCGAGAAAGCGCGGTAAAATTGATTCGGCCCGACCTGGTTCGATCTGATTAGGTCGTTCGAAAGTCTCGTTAAATAAATTGGTCCGTGCCGTGGATGGCACTTAACGCTTCGTCGGATGCCACGGGGACGATCTTCGTTAATAATTGCCTCGAGAGAGAGATCCTCCTTCCTCGTGAGTGCGATCTCTCCCTCTGTGCCGGAGGAAGGAATTGCGATTCTGCATTTCTTTCGGTAAATCCCTCGGTAGTTTTGCGTAGAACATGATTCAATTACGGCGGCCGTTAACGAGCGTGCACCGCACCGCTTCTCCCGGAAATGGCGCGTGATCTCGTTCCTTCCTATTTCGGGATTAAACGCCGGTTTTATCTCCCCTTGGTGTTTACTACCCCCTTAACAGACGCGTCTTCCGTGTTCCACTCCACTTTACAGAAAACAAAAGCTACGTAATACCGTTTAACCCTTGACACTCCGACTTTTAATTGTGAGTATCGACTGGCTATTCCAACTTATTCTCATCATACTTCTACTTGCAAGTCGGTGGTGCTTGAAAGACTTGGAGTAGAACTCCGCACATCGATGGTGCTTGAGAGACACACTTGGAGTGTTAAGGGCTAATAGGAAATACAAGCTATCATTAATTATATGAAATCCAGCCCCATCCGGCAATGAGTGGAAATCCGCAAACCGGATCCCCCGATTCTTTATGGAAATAGGGTATTATCGGCTCGAAAAATCGACTCGTGTATTCCGGACGGCGAGAAAGGCGAGGGACCGTGAAATGGTAGGTTGGAGTTACTCGTTCAAAAAGTACGTCCCTCCAAAGCTCCAAACTGGTGCTTTCACCACCGCCAATGATGGCTCCTCGACAAAGACACATTTTAATACCCCATCCGGAAAATATTCCCCTTGGAGGCCCATATCCGTTCTCGGTGCGGCCCTGGGCAAAAGCAAATTTTACTACCTCGTCGGGGGGAAAAAAAAATAAAGAGCCACCGGAAAACCACACAGTTCGGCCATTCTCAGGCCGCCGTTTCGCGCTGCAGTGCGATCATATTGCATAAATGGCAATCGAATGGCGGCCATCGTCGGTTAACGAGAGGCCGTTTTCCTCTTTCTCTTCCCCTCTCTCTATCTCTATCTCTCTGGCCATGGTCAATTCCGTCGAAGCCGGCCTTCCTGGGGGTAAAAACGTCGTTTTCGATATCGTCCCAAAGGGTCTCCCGTAGGAAATGTCCTCCGAGGGTAGGAACCAAGGGACTGGCCGAGGGATGATTAAACCCTTTTGTTCGCATCAAAGACAGTTGATTATTTCCGCCTGTTTGGGGGAGATGATTGTCGGCCGGGACAACCCGACCAGACAGGCTTTAATATGGCTTAAGAGGAGGCAGAGAAAGAGAGAGGGAGCCGGCCCGTAAAGTTTAAACGAGGACGGCAAAATGAAAATACCGGAGCCCCGATTTTCCCCGCCGCCTCTGACGCTTTTTTCCGCCACCCTTGGCGCTTTTTCCCGGCCGCGCCCCCACCGAGGAAATCCCGCGGACGACTCCTCGCCAGGGTGGATTTCTCCTTTTCCGAGTCGGCTCAAAGCTCCGGAGCATTTTCAAAATTGGCCCCGGCAAAGCTCTGGCTCCCTCGACGGGCCCGGAAATTGGCCGATCGCCTCGTAAAACGCCGAATCGGATGCGCGGATTCCCCCGCCTGTCGCTTCTCTCCAGTTCCGGGTGGTTATGCCCATTGAATCGTGCTCGATGCCGCATAGACACCGGTAACTAGCCGGGGTATTCCACAAAATAGCTGCCAGGTATTCCGACGCGGTTTCCTCCACATTTTTTATTTCATTTTTTTTTTATAAATTAAAACCAACGAAATACCTTATTATTTGGGTAGATATGCCGATCGACGCTCATTTCGTCTTGATTCGTTGTACAAAGTTGCCCGCTCTTCTCTTGGTCTATAATTTAGGATGAAGATTTCTTAAGAAGAATGATTAATTTTCGTCGTCTCCAGGACAATCGGCTCCAGAGCGGCGACCACATCCTGCAGATCGGAGACGTCAACCTGCGCGGGATGGGCAGTGAACAGGTCGCAGCTGTTTTACGTCAATCCGGCACCCACGTGCGCCTCGTTGTCGCTAGACCCGTCGAACCCACCTCCCCTGATTACCAGGTGGGTAAAATGTTTATTTCAATTATCTGTACTAAGGCAATACCTCTAGTGTCCGAATATATAACGAGAAAGTGAATGCCACATAGGTACCTACCTATCAGTCAGGTAAAGTCATTCATGCGGCACCTGATTAACCTCTTGCACTGGGAATTAATTGGCAGAAGCCCACCTGAAACTAGTATTTCATATACTATAATCAGTCTATGTAATTCCAGGGCAAGGGGTTAAATATCGATACCAAAATATGATTAATCGATAAAGTTACCATTAAGTTTTCAGTGAACATTTTTCCTTTAATTATGGAGCTAGTGGGATTTCGGGCATCCTGCAATCAGGATAGCCGCGCTTTGTCGAGCATTCCCTCCAGCTTCTGCGTTCCTGCCTCCGTAAATCCTGCCTTGTTACGTGCCGGAATTCGTCCTCGCGAGTGACGCGTTAATCTTCCCCGAGTGGACGACCGAAGCGAACGAACGTCCAAGTTGAACGGGTCGTGTCCCTCTCCGGGGATCACTAAGCCTCGGGGTTTCGTCCCGAAGCTCCTGGGATCGAGTATCGATACGTGGGGACCTGGGATAAAAGTGATTCCAGGCTGCGGAACTCGTGTCAGCTATTTCCTGCGCCCGTAACCCGTCCGGACACCGATAAACCGGGAAACAAGGGGCTCATTGGGATGCGCCCGCAACGGGGGAGAATTTAATCCTTATACATTTCCGTTTAGCGGGGATTAAATCTTTCTTTCACGCACATGGGATGGGTACAGTCGGCACTGCGGTATTAATAATCCGGCAATTGATAGCGGAAAAATAACGAGTCTCTTTGCAGGAGGACCCTGATGGAGAAATTGCCGGCTGGGTAGCGGTCGAACGACCTGGAGTCCAATATATCGGGAGATAGGTCGAACCTCGCGTGTGTCAATATTCTCGATGCTTGCAGGCACTCGGAAGTCACGCCCCTATCGTGCCCACCAAGATATTGGGTGACCCAGATGAGCTGGACAGGCATTTAGTGCATAATGCTCCGGAAACCTACGGACCGAGGCCCCCGCAGGACGAGTCCACCTACGACAATGGATACGCGTACTCTCAGGAGGCCGACATCGAGATGCAGGTGATTATGGTGAAAAATCGAGATCCCTTCTAGATGTCGGACCCATAATCGGATATATCGTATACGTCTTCGTGTCCGTTTTCTTCCCAGACGAGGCCAAGTCTCATCATGGACGTCGTACGCAGCCCGGTCTCCGTTGGAACCGTGCAGAACGTCCCAGGGTCGACCCAGGTTTCCAACCTGCCTCCTCTGTCCATGGATCCCCTCGACGTTAATGCCCTCCCGGAGATGGAGAGATTCACCGTGGAGCTGAAGAAAGATATTTACGGACTGGGGATCACCATCGCCGGATACGTCTGCGAGAAAGGTTGCTGGAACTTTGCCACGAAGCTTCGCGCCTCGGAGGTGTCTCTATTAGGACGTTCTTTGGGTGGCGTGTCCTCGGCTGAGGGTCTCATTTGACGCGGATTTATCTGGGATTTGGTCGTCTCGAAGAATGGATTTCACGGGGGATTGGGAAAACAATTGAGCACTCTTAAGGAGCCGCAGAGGTTCCGGCGTATTCCTGGGTTAAGGGCTACGCGCACTCCAGTCGGCAGGTTTCCTCGATATCTCCAGTTTATGTCATGCAATTGTTTTTTGATACGTTGCAGAGGAATTGTCCGGCATCTTCGTGAAGAGCATCAGCGAAGGCAGCGCCGCCGATCTGAGCAATAAGATCCTGATTAACGACAGGATTGTCGAGGTGGACGGCCACTCTCTTCAGGGCTACTCCAACCACGAAGCTGTGGAAGTTTTGAGAAGCACCGGGCAGACCGTGGTGTTATGCTTGGAGCGATACCTCCGGGGACCGAAATACGAACAACTGCAGCAAGCGATCGCTGCCAGCGAGCTGAGACCTCCTCAGCCTACCTCGCCTTCCATCACGAGTCTGCCCAGCTTCCCGATCAGCGCGGTGAGTTGGTGGGGGATTATTTCTTTTTCCCCCGTCGTGTCACCGCGTCGACGTAATATCCCCAGGCTGCAGCGCGGCACTGGCAACGGGAGCTTTGAAAGGGAATTTTCGGGGGCTTGAAAGCCCCACGTGAATCTTGATATACCTCCGAAAATATGTCGCGCTCGCGAAGGACCAAGGCCGCGTTCCGTAACTCTGGAGGGCTTTAAATGTCGAGTGCCAGCAATCATGCTAAGTGCAGCTAGCGCGCCCCGGTAATTGCGACACGCCGTTGAAGCTACGTTGAAAAATTCAGCGCACATTTGTGCGCACGCCAAGGGTACCGATGGTGATCTCGTTCCTTTTCTTTTCATTTTTTCTTTCCTTTGACCCCTTTCTTCTCTACTGCGGATGGCAATAATTAATTCCTAGGGTGGAAACGCCGCTCGAAAGTAGGAGAAAAAAAATAAAAATAAAAATAAATACGCATTCGTTGGGAGAGACGAGCATCCTCGAGAACGCGGTACACTCTACTGATTACGGCCAGTGAACTGTGCTGGCAGGAAGTATGAAGGCACTTGATTACTCGAATGTTGCTTTTTTTTATTGGGTCAATCGTGGAAGTGCGTTACTTAGCGCGAGCACTTTCGTCCTACCTGGAGCTAGAATTCAGTGGCACTTCCACGGCGTGATTCTTTTGTCAGGACGGAGAGACCACCACGGAGATCGAGCCGGAAGGAGAGTCCCACACGACGGTCGACAGCGCGGTCCTCCACGAGGCCGAAAGCATCAACTCTTTCGGCGAGTTGGACGACGCCGCGAATGTCGAGGCCCTTTTGAGCGACCCTTCTAGCGAGTTGACGTCATTAATTCGGGCGGCTATCAAGGCGAAGTGGCAGAAAATCGTTGGTCCGGACACCGAGATTGTGGTAAGCATGGGCTGGCTTAAAAAAAAAAAAAAGAAGGATACGAGCGACTTAAATCCTTACACCCGATCGTTCCTATTTCTCTCACCTCGGATGTAAGTAGCGCTGCGCAACTTCCATATAAATAGTTTTCTTATAAATTTAGGGAAAAAGAACCGAGAGATGAATTTTCTGGCCGAGGGGAGGTTCATCGAGGAACCGGAAATCCCGGAATGCCAGGGTTTTTTTTTCCCTTATTCGCGAAGGTGTTCTAGAAAAGAATGGGCCTGGGAAAGTGCGATCACGATTGCGATGAACACAGATTTAATAATTCCTGCTCTACAGGTGGCTCAGTTGAAGAAGTTTGCCGAGGGTAGTGGCCTGGGCATAAGTTTGGAAGGGACGGTCGACGTGGAAAATGGTCAGGAGGTGAGACCTCATCATTATATACGGTCCATTCTCCCCGAGGGTCCAGTTGGTCAGAACGGGACTTTAAGATCCGGAGATGAGCTGTTAGAGGTAATGCACTCTCTCCTGCAAACTTGTGATTTAATACTTTCGCGTATTACGGTGGAATTAAATGCACAATACAATTTTAATCATCTACACCCTGGGTTAAATAGAGAAATATATTTGGAGTATTTATCTTATCTAAAAGACGATCCTATGCTTCGAGGACGAAGAACTGTATTAATAGCTGATAGAACTGATCGTGCTCTTTAGGTGAACGGCTATCGTTTGCTGGGCATTAATCACATGGAAGTCGTGAGTGTTTTAAAGGAATTGCCCATTCACGTTCGGATGGTTTGCGGAAGGAATATCGCTTCTCAGGATCCACTTTGTCCAATCGACACGGCCCAGCATCAAGCTGCTTTCCAGACGAGGGTGAGAACCCGTGGAATTTATTTATCTTTTATTTTTTGTTTGATTACTGAATTAAAAAAAAAAAGGAGAGGAACATAGAACATGATTTTATACAACCTGTTATAATATTTCTCACAGAGTATCCTCGGCGGTTCGCTGCAAAATCTTTTACCAGCAATGGACCGTTTGGTGAAAGCCAAATCTGACGGCTCGTTGGCATCGACGACGACGACGGCGACCGTGACAGACGCCAGTCTGAATAAAATGAAATCGCGTTCCTTGGAGCCTCTAACGGGACTGGCAATGTGGAGTTCCGAGCCCCAGATCATCGAGTTAGTTAAAGGAGAGAGAGGACTCGGGTTCTCCATACTGGATTATCAGGTAAAGCTCCTCGTCCACCAGGCAAAAGAAATTCCCGGCTAAACCGGTGTACTGTATACGCTCTCTGTTTCATCCAGACTACAGCAAGTGGAGAAACCGGGCAATTGTGATAGATAAACAGCCCCAGTGCGCGAGAATATTGTACTTAACAGCATTAACCTCCCTCGCTACCCCGACATTCTTAATCCGTTCCAGTGAATTATTTTCTCATGGCTTTCCGCGTGATGTATCTTTCTTTCGACTCTATTGTAGCATTAGTTGAAGTTGCGACTCCATCGGAAGGGATGGCAAATTCGTTCAGCGAGACGGCCCAACATTGACCTCGACCTCGGTTGTTCCAGGATCCAATGAACCCCAACGAGACTGTGATAGTGATACGATCGCTCGTCCCAGGTGGAGTCGCCCAGGTGGACGGTCAGCTGATCCCAGGTGACCGTTTGCTCTTCGTGAACGACATCGCCCTGGAGAACGCGACCTTGGACCAAGCCGTGCAGGCCCTGAAGGGAGCCCCGAAGGGCACCGTTCGCATCGGGGTGGCCAAGCCTCTGCCCATCCCGGATAGCATTGCCCAGGTGAGCGATCAAGTTGATCAGGTCGAGGTCAGGGAGACTAAAGATACCGAGGCGACCGTGCTCCTGGTGATGGACAGTCGCAGGCAGAGGCGAGAGTACTTTAGAGAGAGAAAGGTTAACGTTGTCCATCCGCCCAACCACATGGACTTGATCGAGGGTTTGCAACACCAGCACAACCTCGTCAAGTCGGAGAGCTTCTAAATATCGACTTAGTCTCGGTGATACATACCTATACATATCCTTAAAGGGCTTGATAACGAGTTATCCGCTGGTCTAGGACGAAGCATATCGGAGACTAACGCGTCAACGAGACCGGGTATGCACCGAAGGGCAACGTCCCCATCTGCGGATACCCGGTCGTATTGAGGCATCAGCTCCCAGAATACACCCTGCAAAAATAGAACTAAACTCTTATGCCTTCCCTTAACCAGGGAACCCTTGCCGAGCGATCAATCTTTCGCTTATGATGCTTCAAATGACGGAGTAGTATGAGCAAGTTAATTTTATTTCTGTAACCGGGTCGAGGATGTGTAGCTACGCACGTGGTCTTTACCTGTGCACAGGTGATTCCGAGCAGTCGGGCCTTTTCAATTTAGACAAGGTCTTACGCATTTTGCACTGCCACCGCTGACTCTTATCGCCGGAGACTGTTATTGGCTGGAAAATATTCGCCCCCTTTATACGATTGATTTCAATTAATTCCTGTATTTGGGACTTGGCGCGACTTGGTAATAGGAAAGAGAAATATTTTATATCGAAGGTACTATATATATATATATATTTTACGAAGCCTAACGTAAGGGGGGCGGCTTTTCGCCTTATTAATTTTAGAGATCGAGGTGCTTTATATTAATCCAGGTCTACCAGAACTGTTAGGTCCTATGTCGGAAGATGATGGACAAAGTGCCTTTCGAGGTAACTCTTGAGCCACGCGAATGCCTAAGTTCTTTGCACTTGAAGTCCGATGTTAACGTCGTGACGTACGACTTCAAGTAGGCTCGATTATTATATCGTTAAGTTTAGAATTAAGTATGGGCCCGGACGGATTGAACGAGTCTACGATTTTTCTACCGTCGCGGTGGTATTAATCTTTACATTTAGCTACCGCTGGTTGTCGAAGTACATTTATACCTATATTTTAGGGCTTCCTTTTTACAGAAATACCGCCTAATTTATCGCCGCGTTCGCGATGACACGAGTTATTTCCACCGGGAGGTCCCTTGTCTCGCGGTAAAAACGAACCGCCATTTGCGAGGGAGTTAAGATAGGAAGATAGAAAAATTGGGCGAGAATCAAGTATGCAAATATTCGGTAAAGTTGCCCCGTCCGCAGGGTAAACTATGCAGGGAGAAGCTTACTCCTCGGGAGGCTGTCCTTATTATGGAAATGTTTATCCTAGATTAACGCGAAGTTCGAGCCAAGTTTAATGCACTGCGACTATTAAAGAGGTCGGCCGAGTCGTGTCGAATTACAAAAGCTACCTATCAGGGAAGTTTCCGATTAAGCGAGGAAAGTCCAGACGCTAAAGCCAGTCGGAGGGGATCGGATTTAAATTTAAGAAACGAAAGTAAGCCGTACCTTTAAGAGTTAGAAGGTGGACCGTCACATACAGTTCTCAAGGTGGAGGGGAATAATCTGAATTTATTTCCAACCCTCCGTGCGGCAATCATAGATAGTACTATCAGTCGCCCAACGATCCTCACACCTACGTGCCTTTGGTTGATCATCATGTCCGTCCTCTTAATTTTTTATCTAATTATTTCCGTTCTCATCCACGCACCGCCCTAGCCGAAGCTTCGGTCGTCCTCGCTTATTCAACGAGGAGGTGCATGCATTTCTTTCGGGCACTTGGAAGGGGGAGAAAAAAAAAATAAAGTGCCGTAACATCAGGCGTCAATCGACCCCGGGAACATTGCGCGCGGTAAAATTGTTAATTAACGATTCATTATGATTAGCGGATGGCCGTTTTACGGTTACACGGTACATCTCGGTTAATCATTACGTGGACGCGCCTGCTGGAAAGGAGGGAAAGCCTCCGGTTACATCACTAAGCCGGTGTTTGTCGAAAGCACCGACGTGGTCTTCGTTAAAGTAATTTAACAGAAAATGCGGGGAAACTTCGCTCTCCGTCGAGGGAAACCTCTGCCGTATGAGAAAAGGTCCTCTAATTCAATTTCGCGGACGGGGTGTCACAACGAGAGGCCGCCTCCTTTCCAGCGGGTACCTCCACCTTTCGCGCGAGCTTTTCCGCGAGCTTTTCCGCTGAAAAGCCGCCGCGGAAATGCGGATTCACCCGATGACGCTGTGCGGATAATCGAGGGAATTAACAGCCCGAATTCGCCGCTAAAGAGCTTAAGGTGAAGTGAAATACCCTCAAATCGATCGCAACTCGAATAAGACACTTCTTTTTTTTTTTTTTAAGGGTATTGGACCAAACCGTCCGAAACTTTGACACGTGATTCGCGACACCTAGGAATTATCCTGACACTTAGAAAATGTGGATTTTTGCAAATAAGTCTTTTTTAACTTAGCCGAGATCAAAACCAAAATGCCGCCGAGTTCTCATATCTCGTTCGATGCCCAATTATTGAAGGCTCTGATATGAGAAACGAAAGTGTCAGAATAATTGTACGACAATTTAGAACACTCTGGTAATCGCGAAACTCGCATTTGAACGGGATAAAGGGGAAAAAAGTGTCTTTACGCGCTTCCATGCCAAAACGACGGTAATACGAGCTCTCGGAGAGAAAATTTAGTTGACGCGGAAATCATAGATGGCGCAGGGGGTCCCTCTGAAGTTAATAGGGCCTCGGAAATCATCTCAGGGGATTTCTGGAGTTTTACTTGGTTTCTTTACAATTATTCCACGAAAACGACAGATGGAGTATGCCATTTAGTACGATACTCAATATACTTTGAAACAGCTGTCGATATATAAGAACGATTCACTTCACCTTAAGACTCGGTCTCGAATCTGCGATACGTCGTACTTTTAAGCCTTGTACTTGTCGCGTTGAATAAACGGGATGCTGCACGCATTATTTATATTTCTTTTATTCAACCCTCCATCCCCCGCCCCATCCTCTCATACGCATTCATCGACATTAACGTATCGCACCTTCAAGCCAGGTACAAACATTTTCTATAGATCTCAATTTAACCATTGGGGACTTAACGATCGGCAAAAGTTAACACTCGAGTGTTACATTCACCGAGGAATTAACGGCGCCAATTAATGGTTGCTAAACCCGTTGAGTAACATCGGAATATTTTTATCCAGTTAACGAGCACGAGAGATCTCAATTTCGGGTAATTAGCGATTTACCTCGGGTAGTTAGCGGCCTCTAATTAACATTAATCACGCATCGAAAACTTTATTTCGGGGGGCTTCGGATAGCCTCTGAAATCCATCAATTTAATTCATTTCATGCGATAAATCACGCGCAAAGGTTTTTTTTAACTGACCAACCATTGCATCGAAACGTTCCCTGAATTATGATGAATTTATCTGGCGTGGTACAATTGTTCTTATCACAATTGTACAGAGCCTCCATGTGGCACTCGCAGTTCGCTTCTAGATGTTAAGCGGTACCTGAACCCACGGTAATCGGTTCTTGCAGCTCGATACGAATTATCCATTGTACTCGATAGTCAGCTAAATTCTAGCTGGAAAATCGGGGAATGAATTACGGCAATTAAGCCCGGGCAGAATGCTGACGTAGATTGTGAGGCTACGTTTTCGTTGCCGTCTGATTTGCGCTTAACCGCAACTTTACTGGGTTACTGGGGTAATGGAGTTAAAGCGAAGTTTCGAGCTAGTTGATACTCTGGCGAGGCAGTATCGCACCAGTTTACTAATACCGAGCCGCGTTGTCTTTGCCTAACAATACCTTAGTTTATTTAGGAACCCCGAAAATCGGAGCTCTTAACGCCGCAAGTCGAGTCACCGTTTTACGTCTGCAGACTCGTGGTCGGATCTGCATTACGTAAATCCTGGTTTAACGCGTCCATATAAACACAGCCAGAAAGAAGAGGGCAGAAGGAAAGAGGAATTGGACATCCTCGACATAGAGAGTTATACGAGAAATGAACAGTACAAACGTTCTACAGATTAATTTTCTGTTATCAGTCGATTCGTAACGTTAGTCTGCTAGGATTAGGAAGGTAATTGCATTACAATGTCGGTCTAACGAGAGTCGAGATGTGCCCTAATAATTTGACAAATTGAAACATACAGGTATAGGTACATGTTTTAATTACTTTTAATCGAAGGTATAGGTACACCTTTGAAATCTTTCAATCGGAGGTGTAGGATTTATCAGGAAGGGTTTGCCCTTCCTTTTTGTTAATTGATAAGTTCACGACGAACTCGAGGTGCTGTTAGACCAGAGAAATTTTTTTTTTTCTGGCTCGATTTTATTAGGTGATTAATTCGTACGACCGTAGGCGTCGATTATGAGTGCATTGACACTTGAAAGACTCCTTTTAAGCCGGCGTCCTGTGATCGTTATGTCATACGACCGAGGGGGTGCTAATTACCGTAGGGCAGCCATTTTGGCGCTCGTTCCTCTCTTTTGTTCCCGTCGGCCATTAAAAAAGGGAAATCAAAGAGAGTAGCCACAGGGCTCCGAAATTTTAGCCGAGGTGCGATGTGCCGGTACTTTGCGACATCGTATTTCATCCGACTGGTCCTTTCTGTCCCATTCGCGCAGTTTGCCAATGCCCAATTTAAAATGCCCCCATTGAAATACAACATTCGGCAGAAATTTACGAGTTCTTATGGCTTTGGCACCGAATCCGCGAAAAACTCTCCCCGGAAGAGCGAGCTTTCCAAAGTGATTTCTTAAGGATTCATTGCCAAAATTATGGAGAGAAAAAAAAACAGAGAAAAAAAATTACATTTCTGCTGCGTGCACCTTTTCTCCCTTCCACGTATCCGTAGTTTCTGTGGGAAATCCTTAAGGGGTTGTCCCATTTCGATTTCCAGATTTTTCCGAGGGTCCCTTGAGTCACTTAGTGTCGGAATTAAAGACGAGGTACAGAGAGGCAAGGTCTCCGGGATCTTTTCCTCGTGCCTCGGCCCTTAATTTATCAAAAGTACGCCGTTCGACGATATTCCCTTTCCTTTTGGAGACGTCAATGGAGTCGATCGATCCCTTGCTATTTCCTGGCCGACGTTGCTCGATGCATCGACCGCTGTTTTTACGAGGGCTTAAAAAGAGTCAACGGAGGCGCTCCTTTAAAGGGTCATTTTTTTTTTTCGCTTATATCGGACTTCCGTCTTACGGCACTTCCAAAGAAATTCTTCGGGGGTCCTCGAAAGTTTTTGAATTCCAGTTTCCCGACTCGCAACTTCGCTCCTCCGGCTTGATATCCTCTCTCCAGAGACCGCTTCCGGTGTTCATCTTTCATACCAGTGACCTGTGTCCTGTGTCGTACATACAGATCAATGAAATTAATACAGGAAGTTCAGAGTTCGAGGATTAGTTTGAAAGTGGACGCGCAGAGAGGTTCGAGGCATAAAGAATACGAGGACACGAGTGGAGGATTTCGTTCAGAAGGAACAATTATTGGTGAGCTCGATGCACTCCTCCCGAGACGGAGGAGTCGCGAACAACACTCTCCGTTAGTGCTCTAGAAAAGTAGACACATTAACCGAACAAAATGGAATAGAAACTGTTTCAGTGTAACGTGCAATTCTCCCCACTCAAGAATATCGTCGCCTGTCGTACTACCCTAAATACCGAAAGACGAATTAGCTAAAGGTAACGTGAGCGTACTTACTGACCGATTTCCAGGGATTACAATACCCCTCCGAGCTGGACAATAGTCTCCGTCTAAAGACCATCTTCACGCCGTCACCTAGATTGCAAATTGCATTAAAATTACCGAGGATTCCTCTTCCTCCCATTTTTCCATTCTCTGCGAAGCTCCCCCTTGTTCTCTTCCAAAAAGTAAATTACGACAAAAACATCCCCTACAAAAGTCATCCCTATATCCTACAGATTTATTAATAATCAAGGGGATGTGAAAGTGGCATCGGAAAGCTCAATCGTTCATATAACTTTTCTTCGAAATGGGTGCCCCAAGTCGTTTCATACTTTGAAACGTGAATATAGAGACCCTAAGGTAGGTCCTGAAACTCGGGAAATTTCATTTCTTATAAACAACTTTTAAAATACCTATAAACAAATTTGAAAGGAATTGAAGTTCCATGAGTTTCAGGACCTTCCTTATAGTCTCCCTATTCACGTAGTAAAGTTTCAAACTATTCGGTAAACCGAGTTGGGGGAAAAGTTTAATAAACAAAACCTCTTCGACGCCACTTTCACATCACTTTAAACGATACATACGAACCGGTCATACTTCATTTATGTCCTGCGGACACGAATGCCTTCTCATGGCGTCGCCGGTGCAAGAAGAGGAGGCATTCTTGTCCCTAGTTGGACGCATTATTAGTATATAATTAATTATCAGTTTTATACCGTTGTCCAATTTCTCCCGGGGTAATTGTCGAGCTCGGAAACCTGCGATTCCCTGGAGAGTCGGGCCTGCAGGTCCTGCATAAATCTGCAGGAATCTGCATTGCCGGCGCCCCCGAGCTTTTCCGCGACCTCGCGTTGGTGGAACCTTCTAGGGACAAAATAAGGGAGCGTGCACCCGCCGAGCGCACGCATACGTATTCCCTTCTCGATGAGAGACATAAGTATAAATCGATGTCACCCACCTTGACGCATGTTCCCTCTAACATCGCCGCGGGGCGACGACGGGCCGTGCATTAAGAGGAGCCTCACTCGACGGAGGTAACGTATGATGTAACGTCCTCAAGACGACGGATCTAAAGCGAGTGAAGTGTCGAAGGTAGTCGTAGGAATAGTATCGCTTTTTCTTCCTCTTTTCATTTCCTTTCTTGTCAGTTTCTCTAGCCGGTAGCTCGAGCGATCGAGGAGCTTAGAGTGCAGCTCGATGTTTTCGTTTTCAGGGCCTCTGAGCGCGCAAGGCGATCCAAGATGGCGGCCGGCCGAGCGGCGTCGCTTCCGAAGAAGAAGAAGAAGAGGGACCGGCGAACGGCCACGGGGACCGGGCGACTCCCGCTTAGTGGTTTTTACGACGATTTTGGTGATTTCTATGGATATACACGTACACGTAAACTACATATTCCATTATCGTTTATATATATATATACATATGCATATACGTATCTTTAACGTCCTCGTGTAAGTACAACTTCGTGTGTGATGATTTATTGTGTATCGCCCCTGAGGCTGAGCAAATTAAAGGGTTGCAAGATCATACTGTGGGCTCTTCTTATTTGCCGGATGTCGCCACGAGGATCATGCTCGAGGATTCTGGAAAATGACCGATTTCAAGAGGTTTTTGTGGCCTGGAGGTGATTTGTACTTGCAGAGGCTCTGCCTTGGTGGGATGTGATAAGAGATATTGCTGGGAGTGGTTATGGCTTACTTGGGCGAAGTTTGCATGCGTATGCGTAATCATTTTTAGATACTGTTTAGATGTCGCAGCACGAGCGACGAGGGTTTATCAAAGGGCTGACGGACTTTTGGCGTGATTGTTTTCACTAAAATTCACCGAGACGAAGGGGACGGTATATCATATTTTCTGGTATATGGTATATAGTATTGTCCGGTATAAGGGATAGTCATGTAAGGATCCGTGATTAATTTTCTCGGGGACTTAAATCCGTATAACGCTTGTTGTGTATTTTTCTTTCCTATGCAGGTATACGTGTGTTCGAGTACCCTCGGTGCAAGAGATACGCTAAAATATCCAATACGTATAATTGCTTAAGCATTTAAACGCTTATACGTGACTTAAATACGTAATATATACGTAACTTAAATACGTAATATATACGTAACTTCATAATATATACGTAACTTCCCGTGGAGCGGGTCGCGAGAACTCGAATCGTTGAAACTCTCGTGTAACCGCGGACATAAACTCTCAGCGAGGCTGCCCAATTTTTCGCTCCGGACGCGTATTTTTAGCTTAGATATACCGGGAGAGTTGGTGCAATAAAATATCAGGCAATGTGTGGCCCGTAACGCATCCTGCAGCTCGTAAGGCGTTCCAGAGCGAGACCGTAACTTCTAACTTCGGACATTTTAATGGACTCAGGAAATACGGTACCACGTAATTATAGAAACGTTTCGCGTTCTAGGTCGGTCAAGTGTTACCACATTTCGGCAGATTCTTCTTCTTCTTTTTATTTTTTTTTTTCCTCGCCCAAAGAACGTACACATTTTGCGGGGAAATTTCTCCCGAGCGCAAGGGAAACCATACTTTATTTTCCGCGGTAAAAATCGACCATTACCCGAGATGGCTCGTTAGAATTTCTTGCAAATCCTTTCTTGTGTTTCATGTTACTGGAATGATGTCGGATTTTAACTCCTAGGAATTATTCACGTGGCTGCGTGGGAGGGAAAAAAATTGCGCTTTTTGCTGGCACAATCCCTTTGCGCCGGCGATGGGAAAATCGATACGAAATCGCCACGTTACGTCCAGGATAATTGATGTTACGATTACAATTGCAGCTTCGCACGCGAGTACGGTGCAATGCAGGAGCATTACTCTCCGGAATTTGCAAGCTGAACGAGTCGGTAAACCGTGGAAGCCCTGATAGTCCCCTCGGTCGTTGGAGAATCTACGTTACCTACACCTACGTTATCCGCATACATCCCCGATGATAAATTGATCCTGATATCGGGTAGTATCGTCGGAAAGTCATATTGCGGCCCGATAACGAGGACCCATCGCGAAAATTGATAACCAAGTCTTCGGTCGAGCTTAAGCTGGAACGCCAAGAAGTCGGAGGTTTCCACCATGTTTTCTGTTTTCCCTACGCAAGGGTTGACATTCAGTCGATTTTACATATCGAATGACACAATCGATTCGTATCAAGAAATGAAAACATGTCGGGCGATCGATTAAACGCAATGTAGATTGATTTAGACACCCCCTTGAATTTTGATAAGTTAGGTCTATTTGCGAGAAATTAGACGACTTATTTGTTCTCTCATTCGAGTAAATTCAGAGGGATGTTTAGGCTATGTTTATGGATTAATTATTCCCCTCAGTTGGATTTTAATAAGTCAGGTCTATTTGCAAGAAATTGGACCACTTATTTGTTCTCTCATTCGGGTAAATTCAGAGGGATGTTTTGGCTATGTTTATGGATTAATGAGAACCGCGTGTTAATGGATGCTTCCCTTCTTATCGATTGAAAACGAAGTGCAGACATCCCATTAACCGGTGACTTTCTATGGAACTGTTTTAAATAGACGCCGTGGTCTGTCGTTAACTCGATAAGGTATATCGTCCGAGAAGAGTCGAGAGGAAAGTGGTAAAAGTGATAACGAGTGCATGAAAAGTTACGCGGCCGTAAAGTACCGGAGATTTCGCCAGTAAAACGAGAAATTCCAGAATATTAAAGCCTGATGTGCACTTGCTGTTAAGGGCTGTTAAACGTAGGATAATATTGCCGTAATTCTTGTAAAATAGTCCCAGGAATTTAAATGCTAATTGTAGAAGTAATCACGGACGATTAATTGTTCTTTCAGCATGAACAATTTTGACATTTAAATCCGTAGAAGGTAAGACATTGCGAGAGCACGCCTAAGAAAATAATCCATTTAAGGATAGATATCCTTGGAAGGTGCACCTTTGAACCATGCTTATGAAATATTTCCTATTGATATGATATATGAACGACAATGCGATCCGTTCGAAGGTAATCCATGAAATAATCAGACCACTCGGGGAAATTCCTTTCATTCGAACAATCCTTCTTTATCGCTTTTCAACTTCCATATCGCGTCCGCAATTTTCGATTCTATAAATAAATCATGTCGCCGATATGAGGAGCACGTGGAGAAATATTAATATCGATTTATTGCACCGCACGTGTATGAACATATCGTGACCTTTTCACTGATTGCATTTCATCGGACGTACATCCATCGGAGCTCTGCTTCGAGATTTACGAATTTAATAAAGGACGTCCTTCGAGAACTAAAGCTTCCTGGCGTATGATATCTCGCAATAATTCGACGGAACAAATAAGAGATCCCGTATGTCATGGATTGGTGAGAAAACTTTCATATCGGTGTCTTCCGATGATGTACATAGCGACATAACTCGCTCCGATTTGCACGTTAACATCCTCGATATTGCGTCGCTTATATCGACTTACTATTGATGTCAATAGGCAATACTGCAGAGGTATCGTTATGAGTAATCACCCTTTTGAAAAAAGCAATATGACCAAAAACACCCGAACGTACCATAATTACCAGAAAATCAATTATCAAATTTTCCCTTCCGAGCCCCTAACAATTAAAAGCTCATACGGAGGTAGTAAGTTATTTTTCTGAAGCAAAGGGAGGCCTTTCGACTAGTAAAACTAGTTTTATTAAAATATTTACGAGATATCCCTGCTGGGAGAAAAAGCTACTCATTATTGCGCACTCGAACCTATATGAAGATCTTATTCTTCCGTCTCCTTATCCTTAAGAAGAAATTATTCGGAAATTCGGATTGCCGGCACTCGTAATCGAGGTGATTAATGCCATGCCTCTGTCCAATTTGCTCCCGTAATTCTGACCATTAGGTCGCATTTAACGCATCGGTGCTCCCCGGAGACATATCCCGGGAAATATTCGCCGATCCCTCGCGGGTGGAGGTTCTCTCCCTCGATTTTTAACGATTTCCCTGGGAGGTAAAACCACGGCGAAAATGAACTCGCCGAACCGCTGACGTGAACACGGGCCGTGAGGTGGGTGGAAGAAAAAAAAAGGGGGAAAAAATCTCGTTAACCCGGCGGTATTTTAATTTCCGCAAAGTCAATTAGTAACATACAGTGAGAGCGGGTTTTCAGCCGGCGTTGCTTGCACGTCCAGGGGGCGATGAAATTGCAATCGGGAGGAATTTCAATGGAAATCCTGCGATGGTTTCCGCCGATTAACTCTTACTTTTCCTACTCGATATTTTTCCCCTTCTTATTTTTCCAGATTGATTTTAATTTATCGTCCCGTCGGATGTACCGATTTTGTATTTCGCCCTTTCGCGTGATACCGCCCATCGGTATCACCGCGGAGCCAGGAAATCCCGGCCGATTTATCACCGCGAAATTCCCCGGGGGTTACGCGATTCTCCCACCGCAGGAGGAATTTTCTGTCGGGGATTTACGATATCGCCCCGATACGGAAAAACTACTCGTATCGTGCGTACGTACTCGGTGCCTTATCCGAGGGCAGTCTTATCTGGATCTCTTACAGGACAAACGTCGGAGCGAGACGCATTATTCGTTCAATATCTGCGAAGCGGTGATATCGCGAAATGGCCGGGTAAATTGTCAGGAAGAAAGCTCTGCCCTTATGTGCATTCGATATCGAAGTTGCTCGATATTTTACGCGTCTCCGATACTCGCCTGTACTTTTGCATTTTACTTATTCCCTCAGTTTTGCATTCTACATGCATAACGCACATAACGTGGCTACGTAAGAGGCGAGCCGAGTTTAAAATATAAATCTCTGTTCAGTGATGGAAATGAAATATTTCCGAATTTAAGGAAATGTATCATATGTTTCCGTGGAACGGCGTAATGTAAAAACGTGGAATATTATGGCCACCCAAAAGTGGCCGACAAAGCCCTGGAAATAAATAATTCAGGCCTAGGAAAGCTCGTCGATATACGGCTTTTGTCGTGTCCGAGCATAGACGTTGCATAAACGTCACCTAGTTAAAAATGCTCCTCTGAAAACAATTTCAATTACTTCGGAGGGAGTTTCTACCTCCTGCCGAAGAAGTTCTTAAAAATCCCTAAGGATGCTGTACCTAATCCACCTTAGTACCTTACAATGTTTTGAGTATTTCTAAAAGTAATTACATATCCACCCTGATTTAATTACCCGAGAGATTTCCTTGACTTCAGCCTCTGTCTCAGAAATTCCCGAAGACATTCCCCGGATAGACAGTGATGGAAAAATTGAAACAAAGTTAAGTACATGCAGTGTCTCGACGTTAGTACGCGTAGCATAGCTAAATTAATCACACGCATTACCGATAAAAAATTGCGGCGTCTGTGGCTCACATTTGAGCCATTACGTGACAAATTTACCGGAAATTTTTCCCGAAATTTATTCTCCATCATGCGTGCATACATTGCAGATACTTTATGCAGCAAATGGTATGCAAATTTTCTTGTAAATCGATTTATCTCATCATATGATGATCATGAATTTCTATCTGGGTTGTCACGAGTAATATGCATATCGGAGTACCTACGTTCATTTCAATGAGTTTTCGCGGTACGTTTGCAAACTCGGCTCGCAAACGTTACGGTTGGCATCGCCTTGGTCGTATGTTTGTCGATTTATATCCCGGGGCTTTTCACCTAGGGCAATGCCAGACGACATGTACGAATGTAGGGACGTACATGTCGCCCCTCGAATGTCGAGAAAGAGTGAACCGTGTCGTGTGGGACGGTACTTACGAGTTAAAGCCCTCTGTAAGACGTCTTGCTCTAGAGTATGAACTCGAGACCAGAAGTCGTAAGTCGTAACTTTCGCGGTAAGGGAAGGTAAGTACACAAGGCTCCTCTCACACCGGATTTCCCTCTTCCGTCTGCGGTGGGATGTATGAAATTTGAATTTTCCCCGTTAATATTAAAATTTCATGATATTCTTACGACAAATCCATGATTTCGATTAGAAACGCTAAAATGTGCGGTGGGATGTATGAAATTTGAATTTTCCCATTAATATTAAAATTTCATGATATTCTTACGACGAATTCATGATTTCGATTAGAAACGCTAAAATGTATCCGGAGATCGTGAATGATTTATCGCAAGGTGATTTCGATTAATTCGAAGGATGGAAGGGGTGATTTTATTTTAGAGATGTCTAGGGTGGAAAAATGAAGTTCCAAAAGAGGCGACGTCGAAGATCCGACGAAGGAGTTTCGAGGACTTCCGAAAATGAAAAGCCAGTTGGAAATGACCCTTAACGACCCAAGAAATCTCCCTCGGCTTGCAAATGGGTCATCGCCGTGATTTCTTAGGAAAGAGACATTATCCGGTCATTGAGATGAGTTCTCCCGCCCCTTCTTAAAAAACAAAGAGCCGATAGAAAATGGACCGCTCGAGAGTGAAAGTAACGCACCCTTTGACAAATTACGCCGCTAGCCAAGCTGTACATGTCACCCTCCTTATTATTTTAATGTATTCCGTTCCTGGGGTCTAAAAACCCACATTTATCGCCGAGAAAAAAAGGAAAAACTCTGTATCACTTCGTCCCCCTTTCAAGCAGCCATTTGCAAAATAAATCCAAGAGGAGAAATAATCGCGGAACGTCAATCACGCTGGTGAAAAAACGTAATTGCATCCCTCGTACTACACCCCCGCCTTGTATTTCGCCTCCTTCGTTAGCTCGCTATATAACTAAAACCTTACATATTTTCCCTTATTCACGGTATAAATGGAAATATTAGCATCCTACATCGACCATAAAAAAAAAAAAAGAAATAGAATTAAAACTTACTGGATATAAAATAATTCCCTCGATATGCCGTATTTTTCCCTGGTTCTAGAAAAATGGCAAACCTGTAGAAAAGTCGTGTATTAATAATAAATGCCAGGGGAAAAAATGGGCTCTAGACAATATGCCTCTAATATTCCGCTCTATCCAATATCTATTGTATATGCGTAGTCACGGAAGTCTCGTTAAAGCGCAATGTCTAGTCTTAAAAGGTATAAACGGCGCGTAGCGTAAAGGCTTCATAATCCACGTGCTATATTCGAGCCAGTTTGTCCCCATCTCGTGGTGCTCCTTGTGGCGGTACTAATGGAATATCTTTCTGTGATCTTTTTCCTGCGATCGCAACATGCACTCGGGCTGTTCAGCTGGTCAAACCGATCTGCATCTTCAGGCGAAGTCGAAGTTTGCCCGACGAGAGCGATGCGACCGATCGTGCCGCGAAACTGCAAGACTTCCCCTCGTCGAGATCAGGTAATCACGTCCCATAATTAACCTGCCTCCCATAATTTTTTCCTAATCTCTTTGATGACAAAACCGCCCACTAAGGTACACCATAGATGCCGCGACATGCAAAGAGCCGAAAAAAAGAAGTCACAGTACAGAATTAATCATTCCGACATTTCCTTCCCGGAGTTTGCATTTATTCCGATTTCCGAATAGAATGAGCAGGTGCAGGATATAGTAATTTCGTAACGTAGTGGGACCTTTAGTTCCTTGTCTAGCGAAATTGCGTGAATTCGTTCCCCCAGGACTGGACAGCGTGTCCATGGACGCGAAGGACGCGAGCAGCACCACCGACGAGGACGAGAACTTCAAGGATGCCTCATCGGTGACCCCGACCCGAAGTCCCGATTTAACTCCACCTAAGTCACCTGGAGGAACCCCTGGCGATCCATCGGAAAGTGCAGGAAAAGGGACCCTTGAAGAATCGTGGGTTCGAAAATCGATGCCTTCAAGGGAGCCCAGGGTTGTTAAGGACGAGTCCTCGCCGCGGAAGAAGAGGACGTCAGAGGGGGCGGAAGAGTCCTCTGGGACCTGGTTCACGGGGAAAAAAGCGCTAGAAGAAGAGGGTCAGTCTGTCATTCCCGTCTCGTCGCCCACATCGAGGCATCCGAAGGGCGAGGCATCGAAGCCCAGGACGATCGATGTCGTTCCAGGAGACTCTCTTGACCCGGAGGTTGGCTCCTCTCTCGAGAGGAACCTCGGCCAGAGGGTGCCAGAGGGGAAACCGCACGTGAAGATCAAAGGCCAGGTCGACCAGGAATATCCAGAGATCAGAGGGAAAGAGTCCATGGGAACTTGTCCCCCAGAAGTCGGGAGAACCATTGCAAGGGAGAAGTTCCTGGAAGAGGGACAGCGAGAGCCTGAATTCGAGGTGGAGGTTGCCAAGGAGCTCGCAGAGCGGGAGGAAATCCCCAAGGATCAGGAGTCCCTAAGGAAGAGAGCTCCAAGGACTCGCAAGGAAGCTCGAGTGGGGAGACTGGAAGAGGAGAGTCCATCCGGCAGGAAGGATTTCCCGGGGCCTTCCGGGACTAGGACCGCCAAGGAGAGGAGGACACTCCTGAAGGAGCAGGAGAGCATCGAGAGAGTCACCGAGTTCCTGGCGAAGCACAGCGCGGGCTCGGTCTTCGGCCAAGAGGTGCATCAGATGGAGAGCCAACTGTCCGAAAAGCGAGCGGAAAAGCCCCGGGAAAAATCGGAGCCGTCCACCTCTGCCGAACTCATGACAAGGTCGCAAGAGCCCAGGGCGACGCGAACTTCAGAGGCCGACCAGCTGGTTCCGGACCAAGGAATCCTTGCCAGTACCTCGATAGACGTTGAAACGAATCTCGGACCACCTGCCGAGGCATCCCCGGAGGAGATCTTTGCCCTAAAAGTGCCGAAGGATGTGAAAAAGTCACCGAAAGTCGAGCCTCCGGAGAGGCGCGTCGGAGAGGACGCCGAACGTTCTCCAGGGGTGGAAGAGGTCTTTTCGCCGGGGAAGGTTGTCAAAAAGGGCGTGACGATACAGGAGGACGTGCAGAGGATATTCTACGAGGAGCCCCTGGACCAGGTGGCGATCCTACCGGAGGTACATCTCGTAACTGCCAGGATCGTCCCTGTGGAGGAAGTGTCCAGCAATCTCGCGGCAATCGCCATCGAGTCCAGCATCAGGTCCATCTCACCACCGAAGATCATGAGAAATCAGCTTCTGGACAGGCTCGATGGAAGGCGAACTCCTCCTTCGGAATCAGCTCTACCCGAGGGTGGCTACGAGCAGCTCCAGCTGCAGCTTTCGGGCCTCTCCAAGTCCACCTCGGAGAACGCCTTGGCCTCCGACGAGGCCGAACTACCCGACGATCGCAAGATCTCCGGCAGGAACCTCAAACCGGAGGTCCTGCTCGACCTTTCGAAAGTGCCCGACGAGGAGGTGGGTCCTGCGCCGACGCTGGACGTCGATAGGGACGCGCTCCCCGCTGCGGGAACCAGGACGCTTGCCAGAATCGGCAGTGAACGCGTCAGGGGCCAACCGAGGCCGCCACTTTCCAGGACCAGGGACAAGGACCTGGTCCGATGTCCTGACCCCCAAGACGACGCGACTAGAGTCCTGGAACCTGGCCAACTGGCCCAGGAAATCCTCAGAGAGAGCGCAACCCTCGAAGACGCCCTAGATCGGGATGCTGCAGAGGAACCTGCAGCGACCTCGGATCGCAGATCTCCCGAAGCCTCGTCAATCTCCGAAATCAGGTGAGAACTCTACATACCTCTGTACTTAAACTTATCTACAATTTATTAAAGGCAGATATGAAAAAAAAAATTACAAAAATCTCTCTTGAGAATCGTTAGAAATTTCTGATTTTAACAGAAATAGAAGATTCCCATAAGTGAGGGCATCTCTAATGAGGAAGAAAATAGGAGTACTGAATGTCTTAATCATTTTCACGAATTTTACTCGATAACGCACTTTATAAACCTTAATGTCACCGAATACCCGTTTTGCGTCGGGATATTAATAATCTCTGAATTTTAGATCGTAAAGGGTGGAATGGCCGGCAAAAATGGCGAAAGTGTCTTTTGTTGGATAGTACTTTCATGAACGCATAGGGAACAAGAAATGACCTAAAGTCTAATTCGTACTCAGGGCCGATTCGCAAGACTCGTCACGCTCGCGTTTCACCGCGAATAAAACGCACCCATAGAAATTATTCGGTATTCTAAGCGGAATCCAGATAAGCGCCGTGTATACACGTTAAACTTACTGAAGTTACTAAACTCCAAGCTAATCGGGGACGTGAGGCAGAGCACTGTCTCGAACGAGGGTGGAAGTGACATTTCCCCCATTTCCGATGTACTCCGGGGTTCTCCGACGAAATAAGCCGAGGATAAAACGCCTCCACCAAAGCCTAAGCTGGTTTTATTAATTAAATTTCATTTAATGATATTAAATCCTGCCCGTTTCGGTGACTCGTGGGGCCATCTCTACCGGAATAAACGAGATAAGGTAAACGAATTAATATTTTCCGACCGTTTATGCGGTATTCGCATTTAGAAACCGTTCGAAAGCTTCTGAGGAAAATGAGGGAAAAATTGTCGAAGTACGAATGAATATTTTCTGGCTGTTTATGCGGTATTTGCATTTAGAAACCGTTCGAAGGCGTCTGAGGAAAATGAGGGAAAAATTGTCGCGCTACGTGTATAAAAATTTAAATTACGGACTTTGTCAGTCTTCCCGTTGCACGGAGGGAAGTTCGGTTAAGCTTAATTGCTAATTGCAGTTTAAGAAAGTTAAGTCCCTCGGAGTCCCCTGCTGTGAAAGGAAATCCATTTAGGAACTTATAAAAATGATGGGAAAGTGCCCGAAGAAGCCAAACAGAAAAATGGACGCTGCGCGTTCTCGGCATTTTCCCCAGAGAGAAGGAGAAAGAGAGAAGGCTGGAGCGGTAAAAAGAGAGGGAGGGACGCGTACCACGGTAATATCATTCCCGCAGATATATTTGATTATCATAATTTAAAACGAGAGAGGTCGGAGATTACGGTTCCTCTCCGCCTCTGGTGAGGGCATTCCGAGGCATTTGTTTGCCGAGGCGACATTTTAACGTCTCTTTGTTGTTTTAATATTTCCTGCTCTTTAATAATAACCGTGCTTTGAATAATATTAATAAAAACGGGGGATACATTTTCACCACCCTGGAATTTAACTGGGTGAGATCCATCCCATTTACACCGTCAAATTAAAACCTATGAGAAGGGATCAAATTATGGCGAGGATAAAATCAATGGCGACCTTTTCCAGTAATTGGGATGACGAAATTAGTCCAACTAATTATCGGATAATTCGTTTTAATCCTCAGACTCTCATTGGAAGGGTGACTTCGAACATTCCCCTGCGAGTGATAATTAAACGAACGAGTTCTCGTTATTATTCATCGGATTAATGACATTCTGTCCGATTGTCCTATCCGTGACTTTGTTGGCATTGACTCGAAGTCTGATTCCGAGGATACGGTATCAACCACCGAAGGAAACTCGATTTCCGGACCTACCCTTCCGGTGCTCCCGTTCACCCTTTTCGTCCCGCCCCTCTCTCGGTCTCCTTCCATCCCCTCCCGGTTCGGGGCTAATCATTTGATGCAAATGAGCACCGATCGAAGCCGCGCTCGGTATGGTCGTCGGTCGCCAATTCACGCGGAAATGGCAACAAAGGGCCATTGCTCCGCGAACCTCACCGAGCCGGGCTCGGATAAGCCAAAAGGTACCTCTTCCGTGTAAATTTACCTGCCAGGCTGGTTCTCTCTCTCGAATTCACAAAATCCACCCCAGACATTTCCGACCTACACCCGCCCCTCCAACTTCCACCGTCCGCAAAATACCCCTAATAAGCGTAAATTGATCCATTCTCCGACAATATATTAATTTAACGCACAAGTTCATACATTTCTAGTATACAAATTCCAACAACAAATGTGTGCCTCCACCCTGTATCGGTTCAGTCTAAAATCCCATGTTCGAGTGATAGGTAACTTTAGGTGGTATCGGGTAGTTCCAAAAAGTACTTTTTTTCGTTTTCGAGGCAATTCATTAGAAAAACGTTGAAACTAAGTACGGACTTCCATTCGGAGACAAAGTGTCGGTGGGTGGCGGGGGTCGGCCGAAAAATCTTGTTAGTCGAAAAAAGTTGATTCCAGGGGACTTGGCCTGTGTTCACGTACCTGTCCTGGCTAGCCCTACGTAACGTGGCGAATAACGACGTACGGGGATTCCATGACCGAGCGAGGGCCGCTTATTAGATCAGAGTAAGCCAGTTTGCAGTGACGCACGACCGCCCTGACGGCGACAGTGGGAGCCCCCAAGTTGACCGGTGAGATTCCTTCTTCCTGCCTTCCTCTGTTTATTACCGAGCCGAGCTCCAGCCTCGCCTCTGTAGGCCGATTTTTCCCCGATTTTCCCACGATTTTTCCGACGATTTTCCAAATATTTTCCGACGATTTTCCGCTACTCTTCCGCCAATATCCCGCCGGCTTTCCAAATCGCGCTCCTAACCGGAAGTGGCCGCGGCAGACCAGGGACCGTCGACCGGAAACGCGACATTCGTATGTGAGTAATCAACTGAACTGGTTAAAAATGGTGAAAAATAAAAAAATAGATCTAGAGTTCCTCTAAATCGAACCTTGGGCGAGGGGCTGTTCACTTGGGAATCAGTGAAAATGATTTCCTTCTTTCAGAGCCGATTGCCTTTGGTTTCATTTGGTAAACAATGCGATTCGGTAACAAGTGACGTTTGGCCATAAAATTGTGACAGTATTCGGTGATTTTCAAACGATGTCCAGCTGATCTCCACGTGATTTCGGGCGTTAAAATACATAATTTCCTGAGTGAATACCTCCTCGTACTTGGATGTAAAATTGTGCAAAGGAGGGAGGTATATAGCTATCCGTCGTGGTGAAGTCGCCACTTATGGGGTGGAGAAGAACGAGATATATGCGTGTATACGTATATATATCGTCATATATATTGGGCTGATTTTAATTTTGATTTTCCGGTTGCGAGGGATGATTGATAAGCAGGAAGATAAGCTGGGAAAATCAGGTGATTAGTAGAACCTGGTCTAGTATGTTTAGCGAGCAAAAGGAGGACTCGGGTTTTCCTGGCTGTTTTTGTCTCCTCCGACGTGGAGTTCTGCGTTCATCTCGAGTAGAGCATTTCCCGCCAAGATGGCGGGGCTTTTTTAGAGTCCGTCGGTGCCAAGGGGCGCCTGAAATAGACAAACATGACACAGGATCGATTACGCATTTCGTATAAAAGCAAAATCGTCGATACGGCTGCATTTGACGGCCAGTAAACTGGCATTGTTTCGTATAAAAAGATGAATACGTCAACAGATTCTATTTAAGCGCGGAAGTAAACAAGATCAATCGCTTCTTATATCATCTCCCCTGATAAATTTTCGATGGGCATAGAAACAAGTACAGAGACAAATCATGAAATTTAAAATACCTTAATAGAGCTAGGCGAGCCAACCGGAATTGTCAATTAACTGTTTTACATGAAAGCGGCTCGCAAGTAGTCTTTTAAATTTCTTTTACTTTGCTTTAAAATCCCGATTCCTATTCCGCGAGTGTTCGCTTTCAGGTAAGCCAAACGACTGTACGTGTAACGTCCGCTCGTAACAATTTCCTCCGGATACTCAGGTCGAGATGAAAATCGAAACGGCACGTAGATACGTTCTAAATCGTGCAGAAATTACGAAGAAAAAAAAAATAAATAAAAAAAATAATACGGAAACGTGAGTATAATTTTGGTCATGATTTCTAGCCCAAAAGTTTCGTCGACGAGAGGACTCGCTACTCTGAGAAGAGCCCGAAGTTTGCGAGGGGAGGAGAAAGCTCATCCGCCGGGTGAAGATCGAATTTGCATTCCCAGCTCGGCCGAGGATATCGACTTCGAAAATTTGGGCAGACTATTACCGGAGGAACTCTCCCAGGAGAAGGTCTTATCGGTGAGGAAAACCCCGAAGGACTCCTGGGCTTCGTCGGAGTCGCATTACACGTCTCTACAGAGGGTGTCCAAAGACCTCGACTTCAGGCAGTCATTGACATCTGACGTTATTGCCGAAGAACAACATCAGAAGGCATTAGAGAGACAAAGGGAGCACGTGCGGTATCTCCAGAGGACCAGATCACTAGAAGGCGAAGTCGAAGGCCCTCCTGGTCCAGAGCCGGGTACGTAAGACCTACTCCAAAAAGTGATAAAACTAATTTTCCAAGCAGAAATCATTTTTCTCTCGAACCTAAACCCTCGACTATTTCATTCCCCCCTCTTTCGATCAATTAATAGATATTTTATTAACGATTAATCACATTGGAAGAGAAGATCGTCCGCGTTCAGCAATTGTTCCCAATCGTCGTGGCTAATGTCCAGAGCGCAACAATGGATTCGATTTCCCGCAAAATGTCGATAGTAGAGCTTGCTTCTCCGTTCCCTGGGAGATTCCTGGGGACAGATATGAAATAAGAGTCCAGCCGAGAAGAAGGCTCGTTAGGGAAACTCACGTGCTCGATTTAACCTCCCCAGATTGGCGCGTCCCCGAATTCGCTCCAGAGGAAGAGGCAGCCAAGAGAGGAGAGGAGTCGACGTCTCCCCTGGGATCGATCCGCCCTGAGGAAGAGCTCTTTCCGGAGGAGACAGTTTCGACACGACCTTCGAGTAAGAGCAAACGAGAGGCCGACACTCAGACCCAGCAGCAGAGCAAGAGTACTCAGTGCGACCTTACCGAGAGCCCCGAGAGATCGATAAGGGCCTTAAAGCAGAGCTGCACGCAGAAATCCACGAGCAGCCCCAAAAGAGAGGTCGAGACCCAAACCGAAGGAGAGAACAAGAGCACCCAGTGTTACGCCGAGAATTTCCCTCAGGCTTTTCCCAGCAAGGACCACAAGATCGTAGAGACCACCGAGACCTATAGAACTCCAGATTTCCCAGCGAGTCCTAAAAAGGAAGCAGAGGTCCAGACCGAGCAGGAATCCAAGGCTGTCCAGTGTGGAGACGGCCTTGATCTTGAACTCGAGGCCCTACCAGGGTCGAGGTCCTCGTTTGGTCATGAAGTAAGGTCCTCTGGTAGAGAGACCTCCCTCAGGGTCGCGTTTCGAAGCCCGGAACGCAGTGTCGATTTCGAGAGCCCTCGGGAGTCGGCCTTCGAGAGCTCCGAGTCCTCCTGCGACAGTCCAGGATACTCCTTTCCTGTCGTTCTGCTCACACAGGAGGATCTCGAGATGACGGTCACCCATGGGTACAGGGACAGAGATGGAAACGTTGTCTGGGCCAAACATTGGGGCCCGGAAAGACTCGTCGAGATCTACAGGGATCCCAAGTCCAGCCTTGGTCTCAGCATCGTCGGGGGAAAGGTACGGATTCACATTCAAACCTCGTCATCTCCTCGTGAGAAGTCGCGACGAGATTTCTTGAGGTCTTTCATATTCCATATTTTCTTATTTTTGGATATTTTCGAACAAACGTGCCTGATCGTGGAACGAGTAACTTTGCTTTTCCGTTCCTTTCTTTTCGCTGGGATCCTTAAACATTTTCTGTTATCAAGGTAAACGTTCAAATCTCGTCATCTCCTCGTGAGAAGTCGCGGCGAGATTTCTTGAGGTCTTTCATATTCCATATTTTCTTATTTTTGGATATTTTCGTACAATGGTGCCTGATCGTGGAACGAGTAACATTGCTTTTCCGTTCCTTTCTTTTCGCTGGGATCCTTAAACATTTTCTGTTATCAAGGTAAACGTTCAATCCTCGTCATCTCGCGAAAAGTCATGGCGAGATTTCTTGAGCTCTTTAATATTTCATATTTTCGTATTTTTTTATATTTTCGTGCAACGGTGCTTGGTCGTCGAACGAGTAACTTTGCTTTTCCGTTCCTTTCTTTTCGCTGAGATCCTTAAACATTTTCTGTTATCAAGGTAAACGGCGGGATGTGGCTCATGCCTCGAGGGGGTTCCTTGAGAAAGGACGAAAGTCACCCTGGCACCTTGTCGTATTTATGTATCGATTTATCGGACTTTCCGATAAGGGTTTTCTGGAGTATAAATACAGAATTCAAAAGAGGGCGGCTGACTGAAAAGAAATCGGTTTCCTGTCTGTAAAGACGCGAGAGATGACGAGTATTCCCATGGGAGAACCGGTGGAGAATAATCTCTCCCGTGATAACAAAAGATAACAGATATTTAAGTTAGTTACGTAGACCCACGGTTACCTCGGATGATTTAAAATCGCCATTATATCGGTACCTCGGGCACATAGATCACTTATCAAGTACACGAGTACGAAGTAGGTACATTAATTTCAACTCGTGACAACAATGTCTACTTGTTCTCCTTCCGGGGCCATTAGAATCCGCATTTGCGAGTGCTCCCATCGATTTTGCCGAAGACATTGGTCGAGGTGTCTTCCACCTCGTTCGCTAACTTCTCTAATTGTTCCTCGGAGGACGGAAAGCGCGGATCCGCGAAATTCCCGGATTATCCGGAATTACTTCACCTTGGAGGAGGCTGCGGATAAATTCCGCACTATTTCGGTATCTCGCCTTTTACGGTCGATGTTTCAGGTCGACCTGTGCAACGAGGCGGGCAACACTCAAAATATATCCGGCATCTTCATCAAGAACGTCTTGCCGAACAGTCCTGCCGGAAGAACAGGAGAGCTGAAGGTGAGTCAAATCGAGCGACTTTGGCGGCCTAGATCTTAAAGTTCATTGAAAATTCTGAAAAGTAGTTCGTTAGTACCTAAAAGTACGAAGAAAGGAAGAAAAAGAGAAAGTGGAAAACTCTCTTTGAGCCTTCCGGTTGGATCTTTCGACAAAGCCATTAGCGCTCCCGTGCGGTCGAATATCAGTCTTCAGCGGCGCCTTTGATTTTTCTGAAAAAATCATATAAAAGAAAATAGATGGCAGTCGCTTTGAAAGAGTCGCTTTTTAAGACATGCAGATTCCCCCTTTCGCGTTCGGCTCTACTTTGTGAAATTGAAAGGGAATGGACAGGGTGGTGGATAAACCATTTGTATTAACATACAAATGAGGTACACCCCGTGGCACCGATAGACCTTTCCATTAAATTCATTTAATCAACCGTAATTTCGTTCGAACTGCTGCGGAGCAGGTTTGTTAAATGGAACGCCGTTTATGTTTTAATTCATTGCAAATGGATGCCCCGAAAAGTTGGCAGCTCCTTTCTGACGTGTAACGTAATAGCGGCGTTACTTACGCCCGCAGTGCAATTGCGACCTCGGCGATTCTAGAATTTCGCGATGCTCAGGTTACCCAGGCGGAATAAAATTCCCGGGGAGTTTTCCCAACTTCCGGGCCAAGCCGTGTAAACGTAGACATCCCGGTTACGGTAGAATTACAGGGAACTCTAACGTCGGAGTTGGGGATAGATCCCTCGTAAGGCAATCTAACTTGACTACATCCGAGTTAAGGTACGGAAGCGACAGAATCGAGATACGGAAGGAACAGAACGGAAATGCAGGAACAATATTAAAAATGCCTTAAAGTAATTAACAAAACATCTACCCCAATTGCGGGGACATCCGTAACACCGATCGTTACATTTTCACAGGCTCGCGAAATGGAAGAAAAAACGCGAAGCTTCTGCCGAGAAATGTCCACGTAAATCGAGATCAATTACGGCTAGTCCCAGAAATCTAAAAAATAAGCATCGGCTCGATTAAAGAGAACAATCGCAGAGGGATCTTTCAGTGCAAAGAAATCCGGCGGAATTCGTCCGCGAGAATTGTCATCTACTAGGTCAATAGTAGCTCAGCCGATATTTTTCAAGTCCTTAAGGGGATGTGAAAGTGGCATCCGAAAGCTCAATCGTTCATAAAACTTTTCTCCGTCCTGGGTGTCTTAAGTCGTTTCAACATTAACAAACTATTTTTAAAATACCTATAAACAAATTTGAACAGAATTGAAATTTCATGAGTATCAGGACCTTCCTTACAGTCTCTCTATTCACGTTGTAAAGTTTCAAACTATTCGGTAAACCGAGTTGGGAGAACAGTTTTATAAACAAAACCTCTTCGACGTCACTTTCACATCACCTTAATTTCACGATAAGTAGTTAAAAGTCAGATTGTTACTATCCGGGAAATTCACGTTAAATCAGTTTTTCCTCGGGTGGAAAAAAAATGGATTACAAAGGGTTGAATAAAGGGTACTTAGTCTAGGCGCGCGCACGGTGTTATCGGGGGCGCGCGGGTTCCGCGATGGATAAGGGGCGAAATCGTCGAAATCGGCGGAATGTCGTCCTTAAGGGGACACGGGGTCGATTAGAATGGAAAACTAGCAAGAATCGTCGAGTAGGAGCAGTTCCATCACTCGGAGCAATTCGACGGAGTTCAGCGGAGAGGCCGTTCTTGGGGCGCAACAATGGCCCGATCCTTGGCGAGCGGCACATGGCTCGGCCTCTTCGTGATTGAAAGCATATATCCTGCTTTCGTGCGGAGGGACGGAGACACTGGCGAGACCCGGAGAGGTGGCTAGGAGAGGATCGGAGAAAGAGGGAGAGACGGAGGTGCCGGGCGCAAGAGAGAGACGGCGCGCTTGGGCTGCCTCCTCGAGCAGTCGAGGGCAAAGAGGGAACGAGGCGAGGGTGGGTAAGAGCGACTGGGAGAGAATCTGTTCCTCGATCTAGTCGGCGAGACGCCGCACGCTGGAACCGCCGGTTCCACTCCGAGGTCCGCCGGAACTCGCGGAACTCGCGGGATTCTCCTTACCGCCGCACCTGTCGGAACCACGACCTACGCAATATCGGAAGCCACGAGGCGAGGCCCGGATGTTCAATCGCGACCTGCAAGAAGAATGGTGAAATTCGAGTGAAAGTAAAGATCGTTTTCATTCGAGGAAGGTACCGATCATTTGCATTCGAGGAAAATAGAGTACATTTTCATTCGCGGGAAAATCGAGATCCGCGGATGTTAAATCGCTACCTGGAAGAGGAACGATGAAATTCGACTGAAAATAAAGATCGTTTTCATTCGAGGAACGTACAGATCATTTTCATTCGAGGAAAATAGAGTACATTTTCATTCGCGGGAAAATCGAGATCCGCGGATGTTAAATCGCTACCTGGAGGAGGAACGATGAAATTCGACTGAAAATAAAGATCGTTTTCATTCGAGGAACGTGCAGATCATTTTCATTCGAGGAAAATATACATTTTCATTCGCGGGAAACTAGAGATCCGCGGGAAAAGCGGCCACCCTTCGGGGAAGTTGAATGAAGGAAAATCGAGAAGACTCCGAGGAACGAGTCCTTTTCCACCTGGACTTGAATGGAGAAACGTAGAAGGTGAAAGTGCTTCGATTGTAAACTTCTCCCGTGAATGGCGGTGCACCGTGATTCCCGGGCCATCGTAACTCGGTTGGCCCTGGAAAACCGAGAAATGTGAGACTCCGGCGAGGAAAGTTAAATCTGTACGATTTAGAGTGCTCGTGGATTTTAATGGACACGGGAATGTAATCGATAAAAATAAAACAGTGAATTATGTCACGGGGTAATGAACCACGAGTTTGATAAATCTGTATCGAGGGCGAATTCGCTGTGCGGTAATTTCTATCGATATTGAAATCGGTCTGCAACTCGACCTCTGTAGTTCGTGTATTTCCCTGGAGTATTGGCAAATAATTAACATTTTTTTAGTTACATCGATTTATCGTACTTTCCTCCCACTCGACGCGAACTCGCATTTACGGTCTGTTTACGTGGGATGAATCGGGTCAGTGTTTCGATTAGCGCAGGGGGGCATGCACTTTTTATCCGAATATACGATACGTGAGTTTTCTCTCCTCGATTGCAGACCGGAGATCGGATAATCGAGGTGGACGGCGTGGACTTGCGAAGCAGTACCCACGAACGTGCAGTAGAAGTGATCCAGGCTGCCGGAAATCCTGTGTGTCTCCTGGTGCAGTCTCTTGTGCATTTGGTGAGTTCCGGGGCTCCCGGTGTTTTCGATCCTTGGTTACCCATCGCCTCCCATAAGCGGTTTAACCCCGACAATCCTCCGTTTCGACTGTCCGGAATGGATGTTAAATCTCTCCCTTCCGTGAATTCCAAAGTGTCCAGTAAGTGGTATAAATAACAAGTTTTATGAGGATTTCCCAATTTTTATAGATTAATTCAACGCCCCCTGGTGTACCTAGTGAGCTGCAATAAGTCTAGTATTTTATCCCCTTGGCATGCAATTTCTGTTTAGTGGGTTGCAGTAAATTCCGTATTTTAGATCCTTGGGGTAGAATTCCCATATAGTGAGTTGGAATAAATTCGGTGTTTTAGATCCTTGGTAAACAATTCCCATCCAATAAGCTATTTATCCCTCTTCCTATATTTTAACCAAGTCCGAACAGGACCTCTCGACCCTGTACGAAAATTTAAAAAATCCGTGCATGACCATCTAATCGAAGTCCAGGAATTTCCTACGATTTGTCAAGATTTGCCGATGCAAAAAGCCTCGATGCATCCTGAGCTTCGGTTCCGTCGAATCAAATCAATTTCCGATGTTTCCGGTCCTTGATTACTGCCCACGTCCGATGGGCGGTATTCCAGGATTCGAATTCAAGTTTAATCGAAATCAAACTAGGCTCGGGATCGAATCCATCGAGAATCTGACCCGAGTCCTTGGCGAAAAAGGAGGGGCTAGATCCTGGGGGTTTCTTCCTTGTTTCCGTTTCTCATAGATTTAGGAAGTTCCGGTCGCGCCGAGTAATAGGCCGGAGTTTCCGGAGTCTTTAATCCTGGATGACCACCCATGTCCGATAAGTGGCTCGCCATTAATAATCCTCCACTTTGTCCGAATCCGAACGGACGTCAGGTCGAGGTCTCTCGAGCTCGGACGAGCTCTTGTTCCGGCGAGCTGTCGATTCGTCCTCGACTCGAGCCAGAATCGAACTCGAACTCGAATCGATTCCCGGATGTAAAGGGGACCTGCCGGAATCCAATAAAAGCCTCCTTCTGACATAACGCTCCCTGCGAGTTATTGGCTTTCAAAGAGCGAGAGTTAATCCCCTGGTTAGCTCGAGTCTAAGGGCAATCTGCCTGAATGCAGATTTCACAATTGAACCATCAACCTGGCTCGAAATTCTGCCCTTTAAATACCTCGTTTTGACGCGAACGAGCCCTTATTTCCGAGTATAGAGGGCCTAATTGATAAAATGTGCCCATAATTATGAAAGTGGTCTAAGTCAAAATTAAAAAAAAAATGAATTTATCAGTTATTTCACGCCATATTATTTCAAACGGGATTTCCCATAACGCGATTCTTCGTACAACGCGGCAAATAACAAAACACGTTATGTTCGTTATGCAAAAAAAACTCTCGTACAGCGGAATTTCCTATTATGGGAATTCATAAAGCGCGTAACGTATTAACCGCGTTATAAAGGAATCAACGGTACGGAGGAAAGAAGTGCTCCTTTTAACGAAATGTAATTTTTATTCCCAGTCCAATGTGGTTAAAAAGAAGTGCAGGAGTTGCGGTAAATAAAAAAGAAACATTTGAGCCTCGGGCTCGACCTGGTGTATACTAGCCTGCAGTTGTTGGCTCTGAAAGTGTGAGAGTTAATTCGCTGGTTAGCTTCAAACAGAACTGGTTAGCCTGAATGTGCGAACAGTGGCGAGAGTTAAATTGAAGCATCAACCACGCTCGTTCAGAGATCTCCTGGAATTCCTCTTTGCACAAATACGCCTTCACTTTCCTCCTAGCGGAGAATTAGCCGGCCCAATTGCGCAGCAATTCTAGATCTAATTTCTCGCCGTTCCCACGGCGGAGCAATATTATCATTAAAAGGAATAAACAGCGTGCATTACGTCGATTGTGCGACTTACATCCGGAGGAGCTTCAAAGAGAAGCGAATTCGACAGGAATATGCAAACGATTACGACAGCTGATTCTCCACGTTGGAATATTTTCTTTAGCCGTATAAATTGTTAGCACAGAAAAATCAACGATTCGGCCATCAATCCCACTTCTGGGATTTCTTTCAGGCACCAATATTAAACTAACCATTTTGGGGGATTCCTTGTTAATGGAAAAGGCACGAGCGCCTGGAGAAACCTCCTTGAAAATATGTTGCTTCTATTACAGTTGGGTGGAAAATAAAATTAGCTGCCGTAGGATTTACCGGGAGAGTGAAATTCCACCTTCAATTCCTCCCTGGGCCGAGAGGGAATCCGTTTAAGCCATTAAACAGGTCGTCGAAAGTACAAGTTTTAATCTATTTACCCTGACAGTAAAAACCTTTTCAGGGCATGTACATTTAATTCCAACGCGAGCGTAATAGGTTACCGTGATATTGCGAAGGGAAATCTATATATCTCTGATTACTTAAACCAAAGGTTTCTTATGTATTATGCCTCTGACAATTCATATCCTCTCAACAATGCGGTTAAAAAATAAGATTTCCCCTTTTTCGACGTTTTAAAATTTCCCGACAAGGGTGAAATTATTATTCCGCGACCAGTTGACGGATACCAGTTACTTAGGTGCTGCTTTTAAGCCCCCGGTAATATATCGGATTACTCGTAAGTAGATTTTTCGATGCATTTCAAACTAGCTCTGATTCGAGTAGATGGACGAGCAGACAGGCAGAAATCAACGAATATCAAAGTTCTGCCTCGAGGGACATAAATCAGATTTTCCCGTAGGAAAGCAGAAATCGGAATTGCGAGTACGACGAAAGTTACTCATTGTTGGGGGTAACGGGCATGGGCACGGAATGGAGAATTCTTCGATACAGATGATTACCTCGGGGCATAGAATCCAGGTTATAATGGAAAAGAAACATGAAATACCTGAAACGAGTTTTCATGCTATCCGACGCGCAATTTCAAAATTCAAAATCAGCTCACAGAGAATCCGCAGTTACGGACTCTAATTACCAATCAATAAATCGAATGTGTACACGCGTGAGTAATATTCAAGTACCAAAGAAATTTGGAAATTTATCTGCGTATGTTTCCAGGACATTTCCATCCTCACAGGGTTGCAATGATGGCAGACAACGCATCTGCCTCCTTTAGTACTAATGTATATATGATGTAAATACATGCCTTAGAAAATCGGAAATACGTCGAGGGATAAATAAAACAGATGGATTAATTAATTTATCGGTATATATACGAGGCCACGCGGTTACTTTAATCCCAAGTAACGCATTCGCCGCAGCACAGGAGAATCGCCTCCACCACGTGTAAAGGGAATTATGCACGCATAGGTGTTGGTATAATCGACGTGCCGCACCGATGGTCCAGAGAGGCCGGATTTCCAATAATCGGAAGAGGGAGTTTCGGCGGCATATATGGGTTAGGTGTTCGGTCTGTTAAAGAGATAAACGGTGCCTCCCGTTATTGCATCCGACCCGTTCCTCACATCCACCATAAGCCAATCCGTGATTCAACCCTCTCCCTGTTTTTCGCGCAACACCCCGTGCCCGCTTTGCCGGCTCTGTCACTGGACTCAGTCCATCCCCGACACGCGATGCAACGGTTCTTTGGACGGAAAAATGTTACCTTCGTACGTTGTCATTGTCGCCTCGTACACGGTTACACATCCATGCATGCGCGCGAGCTCCTACGTCCCTTTTTCGGCGGCCTCGCCGCGATTTTAACGCCCGACCTAACCGACGCCCCCTTCCTTTGTGGATAGATAGTTTCCCGTGCGTAGTATAAAAAAATGTTTCGGATAAAAGTTGTAAACAAGGATCTGTGGAACAAGTTTCGTCTGGGACGTTTTCTTATATCTCGCCTTGTTACGACGGAAAGTTTCCCTGATTTGTGGTGCCGTGAAAACTTCTTTATATCATCCAGCCATAAATGAACCTGCACTACTGTATTACAAGATATTACTCCTACGCTCCAAATGCATGCAATTCTCCACTCTATCTAAAAGAAATATTCTACACAGAAAATGAACTGCTATGGCGGATAAGTTTCATCTAAAATGTCTTGCGGTATCGTGTTGTTTCCTCGGAACGTACGTGCGTCAAAAATGTCTCGAGTGCAGTTTGATATGTAATCTTAATGCGGGAATAAAATTCGGATGGCTTATAAAATAACCCTAAGGGACGTCGTCCAAGATGCGGTTTCCTGTCCCCCACGTTGACCGGATGATTCCCCTAAAGGCAGCTTATATCCTCGGAATGTCTAAAAATTCCTGTGTCAGCTTTTCCCTCAGCATCAAGCGAATCAGACGCGCCCGTGCCCTCGCGTATACCATCTACTTCGCGTAAAAAACGCGTTTCCTACCTTAACGACAAATAATACCAAAAATCGTCTCCTACAAAACGTGTCGAGCATACTACGAAGACCAGATTTTATCCCAGACAATTTTTCCTATCTGTCAGTGATACCCCAAAAAATGACGTTCATTGAAGAACAACGCGATTCCTTTTTGCTGGGTACTGTGTTACAAAGGAATCGTTTATGAAATAACATCAAAGGAACTTCCCTCCAAAATGGAGATTTCTGTCACATGCACGGGCTGGTTGTTTCCCCAAAGGCAGCTTGTACCCTCGAAACGTGCCTCGACATCTCTCGATCAGCGTTTTCGTCTCGGTATCTCCTCACGAGCGATTCAGACGTGTCTGTGGGGTTACACGTGTAATCTACTGTACATAAAAATTGTAATTTTCCGTCCCAACGGTGCATTATCTCGAAAAACGTTTCCCACAAAGTATATCCAGTGCAATGCGAGGAGGAAGTTTTATCTTAAAGAATTTTTTCTCCGAGCCACTGGGTCACGATAAAACCACATTTATTGGCGAACGCTGCGATCTTTTTATACGCCCAACACAGCGCCGTCGAAAAGACGGTCGTAGAATAATTCCAAGATGGATTCTCTCCAAAATGTAGATTCCTGGCCCTCACAGGGGCCGGTTATTTCCCCGAAGGCAATTTATGCCCCCGAAACGTGGCCCGAAATCCCTCGATCAGCATTTTCGTCCCTGTTCTTTCGGAAGAAACGAATCAGGCGCGTCCACGGACGTAAGACTTAATCGCGCGCCTTCGCTCCTACGTCCCCTGCATATTTATTCGGGTAAAGTACGTCGATCGGGTCAGAGGTTAATAAGGCACATCATTGGACCAGGATTTTACATTGGACCAATTGAGTCAGAGATCAGAGGAACGCCTAGTGAGGTGTAATTTCTAAGTACACAGAGACGTAAGAATTAATTACTCCCTAATTTTTCCATGGACGGTACAGAGTCCCGAGGATGAGAGACGAATGCAGGATGAAAGGAGGAACGACGGTAGAACCGCCAGACAAGGAAGCAGGGATTTCCTAGACCAAAGTGGGGTCTCCATGGGAACTCCCACGACTTCCTTTTTTCAAAAGCAGCAAAGTTCGCCTGGGAGGTCGCCGGAAGTGATACAGGTCGGTGCCCCGAGCTAATTTCAATGCAAATGGAGAAAAGTAAGCCCGCGGAATCAAGAAAGCCGTCTCTTTCCCCAGGAAGGAGTGCAAGACCCAAATAGGACCGGAATCGGAAGGACAGATTCTCGGAGACAGTCGAGTAGAAGAGGCGTGGATGGAGCCGGACCGGCAGCGCGAAGGTGAACTTATTGATCATTTTTACCTCCTACACCTTTATATTTATCTTCTAAGGTAACTTGGGGTAATACGGCCCACCATACCTTAAAAGGCTTGTAGAACCTAAAATATGCAGTATTTTGGAAATGGGAAATGAGCAGGGTGTCCGCGAACAATGTTCCCTTCGGTAGCACACCATAGAAATAAAATACAATTCTAAATGGAAACGTAATTTAAAAAGAAAATCGCTGTATGATGCTTCTGAGCTTTGCCGATTCAACTGACTGTGGGAATTAATTTGCACATTTGTTACCCACGTAGGCCTTATTGTCCTAAGTTACCTTAATAATTTTCTCAAGTCACGTCAAATCGTTCAGATGCGAAAATGGGTATGGATGAATTAGAAATGCGAGTGGAGAAAAATAGTACGCGAGAAATCCAGGGCTTTGAGCTGCACCTGGTGCACCGTCTTTGCTCGGCCTCGTAAATCCAATGCCCATTGATCGTTTCCCGCGGAATCGGACAGTTCGGTGCGATCCGCTGATTAAATTTACGGGGACATTAACGCGGTTCCAGATCCTCCATGAAGAAGTCAATTCGCAAGAAGGCCCCTTCTCCGCCGAAGGGAACGCTCGGCGAGGTCGCCGAGGAACGCGAAGAGCAGCCGCCACCTCCGAAACCGAAGCAGGAGGCCCCGAAGAAGAAGTACTCCTCGGACGAAAGTTCCGACGAGGAAGACACTCGAGATCTCGAGGGGAACGTGTACACGAAGGCTGGGATCGAGGTGAGGTTCTCGGCGAAATTGATTGCTTCGCGAGCGGAGCCATTATTCTAGGATTTTGCCCGCGAAGAGCCATCGAAAGACCCGCCATTGAAGCGAGAGTACCCTTGCTTACGTCTGCTGTTAAGATAATTTTCATTAAATCTACCCGGCGAGATGTTTCCGTTCAAACATCCTGACTGCCTCCCCTGTGGAGCTCCCGACTAAAGAAATATTCAGGCAATCAAAACTCGTCCGCATGTTAACGATAACATTGTTAAGGTGATGCGAAAGCGTCGTCAAGGAGTTCTCTCGCTCGTGAAGCTTTTCTTCAAACTGGATTGTACTGTAAAAAAAAAAAAAAAAGAACTCTTGTAAAACATGAAATTTCACGCGTGTCAGGACCTTCCTTATACCCTCCACATTCAGATTGTAAAGTGGAACAGTTATTAATGAATTCTCCATATGAAGAAGTATCATTCGATGTGTCATTTCCAACATTTTTAAAAAGGGACCTTCGCGTCGCGTTTTATCACGAGCTTGTGGATGCTCTTGCTAGGATGGCCGTCGATAAATTGATCTGCACGTTTTAAGGAGAACGGATGGCCCGATTTGGAACGTCTTTTGACATCTCGCACGAGATAGAACCTTTTACGACAGTTTTATCGGCGCGCGTTCAAGATCGACCCGGTACTGCTCGGGGTCGAGATCGATCGCCCGAAGGCGCATCTCGAATGATTTCCCGATACGTTTCCGTGGAAGGTTTGTGACGTCAGTGAGGAAGCTGTTCGCGGTTTATTTTCGAGCCACTTCAGGCTTGCCCTTTCTTTCAAACTGCCCGGCTAAAAGCGCGAGCGAAGCTTCCGCCTTTGAGCGACTTAGCGCAGCTTCCAGTGGGATTCGAGGCGACGAATAAAGCCCATTCGTACGATTCCCGGACGTTTTAGGGGAATAAGTTTCCTCCCGAGGCCATCCCGGATTCGAGATACCTCAAGGATAACAGAATTTTAATCGATTCGCCATTAATTCCACGTCCCTAGTACCATTTATAAATATTTTCTTGAAATCTTTCCTAAATATTTCAAGCGACAGATTCTTCAAGATATCTTGTAGATTTAATTTGAAGATATCTAAAATATTTGCTAAACATCTCAATGACATATTTAGTTTGAATAATTTATAAACATAATATATATACATTTTTTACTTTTCGAGTATTATCGAATGTGATGTTAAAACTTGCAAAACTTCTTCCTGCGTTTTAACATCAAATGTTAAAACGCAGGAAAAAGTTTTGCAATATTTCAAATGTCGGCGAAATATTTACGAAATGTACGATATTCGTAGATAATATAAGATAAATATTTTGTGCTACTAGGGGTAAATCGATCCCATGAAATTAACGAATAACCAGCCGCGCTCAAAAGTGGCTTTTTATCGAGTGAGCTTCCCAGTGTCTTGGATTCTCTCTATTTTTATGAAATTACTCCTTGGCCCAGAATCATATACCGAGTCGCACTTGAAATAAGAGGAAAAAGAAAATCCAAAAATAGCGCTGAAACAATTTTGAATGAGATCATTTTCTTTTCTTTTTTTTTTAACCACGAAATAGGCTTCATATTGTAATCCCACACATTCTCGGGAAAATTGAAGTGGACTTTAAGTAAGGAGGGAAAAATAGTGCGAGTCCAATTTTGCTGGCATCTCGGACGATAAATAGCCTCTGATTAGACTTCTTAACACCTCCGATATTACGTGCTATCATTTATTCCCAGATGGGATAAGATAAATCCCAAGTACCGAGCTCAAGGCCTCGCTCGTAAATCTAATTGACCTCCCATTAGACGAGTACCCCTCCAGACGCCTCGAAAAGCCTAAACTTCTGAACTTTATAGATCTCGAGGAGAAGTGCGGGGAACGTAAAGCGAACTAAGGAGGAGATCGAAGCGGATACGGAACAGGAAGACGAATTCGGTTACACAGCTAGTGAGTAAACGTTCGCCTTACTTTAGACATTTGGCTTTAACTTAGAAAATGCTCGCACACGTGGACGGACCCATCACTTAGAATTAGGTTTGCGTGGGCCTAATTAATGGAGAAGGACCCCTTTGGTCGCAGCCCTCCCCCACACGGAGGGCGGAAATCGAGGGAAACCGCAACCGGAAATTCCCGGCGGTTTCCCCGGTGGGAAAGTTAAGCGGCCATCGGTCGAGATTGCGGCACCTTAGGGCGATTCGCGAATCTTTTCGAGTTTTCCCATCGAGGTAGAGACCGGTCCTTTTCTTATTGAAACGAGTCGCACCCCCGATCGCTGCTCGACGACCCGCCGGCCGCACGAGAAGCCCCTTAGGAAGGGATTAAAATCGCGATTCCTAGGCCTTCGCACGGAGGAAAATTACGTGTACCCGCCATCGTAATTTTGGATACGCTGAAAGCACTCGAGCGTAAATATACACGCCGAGGAGGCATATATACCGGGCGTTTCGTTCATCTCGAATCGCAGGGGATATCCGAGCAATATCAAACGACACGTGGAAGCGCTCGAGGAACTCAAAAAACCTGACATTATTATTTTTCTTTTTTTTTCCCCAAATTAAATTGTTAACATGGAAAATGTTCTAGGCAATATTCCGTGACTCGAGAAACGTGGAATTTTTTTCGAGTTAAATTAAAAATATGGATAACGTCCCAAGGAATATTATTCGAGAAACGTGAAATTTGTTGGAATTAAATGAAAAATATGGAAAGGGTTAAGGGAGCCCAGGTTAAGTACCTTGGGGAGGTATCCATATTGGACTTCACGTCACTTCCGATGGGTCAGAAAATAGACTTATCAGGGATTTTATAAAATTGCTCCTTTGGCAATGTACTGGGAAGCTAGTCCTCCGTTATCATCGCGCTCGTCTTCTCAGGACACTTCCCAGTCATTCCTCGCTTTAACTCGAGCACGATCGATCACTTCGATTCCCTCCTGCTTCGCAGACCCTCCGGAAGGCTGCAAATGGGTCGGACCATTTTCTCATATATTTCTCTAAAGATTTTCCCTCCTACTCTAATCGTAAACTCGTTGACCAATCGCGCTACTCCGCGGGAAATATCATTTTTCATAGGGATCAATCCGCGTGGGAAAGGAATCCCCATGATAATCGAGAATAGGAGTCGAGCTTTTCCTAACGCGAAATAAAGCGGGGCGTTTTATCGCCTCGGATTGAGAAGAACCTAGGGAAACGCCAGGTCGAGCATAGGTAACTCGAAATCTTTGACTTCTCTTTCCAGACAAAGTAAAGAAGAAGTATCATGGGACCGGACACCCTGTGGCATTGGTGGCGTTGGAGAAGGACAGAAGGGGCTTGGGCATTTCGTTGGCTGGACATAAAGACAGAAATAGGATGGCCGTCTTTGTATGTGGCCTCAATCCGAAAGGCGTTGCTCATAAAACCGGAGGCCTACAGATCGGGGACGAGATATTGGAGGTATGTTATTTACGAATTTTATGCACCTCGCATGGGTGGCACTTCTTCTCTTTCCGGCCTCGCCTCTTAATGTCGGAGTTTTCTGCCCTCTGAGATTTTCGACGTCACGCGTCGCGCCGTATACATGCCCGGATTTCACGGTAGGAACGCGTTCGGGTATTTATAGTTTTTCTTTATTTTGCTCTTCTCCTTCCTTCCAGGTGAACGGTATAGTATTGCAAGGCAGATGTCACCTGAACGCTTCTGCCGTCATTAAGGGAATGCCCGGTGCCATATTCAAAGTCGTAGTCATGCGGTAAGTACGGCTCTATTTTCCGCGACACCCAAGATTTATGAAATAACGTTAAAAGTGCCGAACACGAAGTCTAAGTGGATCGGTTAAATATCGGGTACGATTTTCCTGGCATTCTACGGGATTTCTGGATTTCTGTCTCCCTCGGTTAGATTGATTTCTAATCGAAATATCTCCCGGACGCGATGTCACATCTTCTCATTTTCAGCCGGGATAATTTCAAGTGAGAAATTAAATTTCAGGAAGCCTTCCGGTCTGAACGATCTCGCCGTGAAGCCGATCGTACAATTTCCACCGTCCATCGACGACGTAAGTTACTGCGATCGAAGTTTAATACCCCGTAAATCTTGTTAATAAGGATCGACGTCTAAAACGTGTCCTTTGTCGTTTTGCAGAACGAGGAACTTTTTAATCAGTACAAAGGAGTGCGACTGATATCCGTGAAGAAGGCAAGCATAGGGCCGCGCTTTCTTAAAGGTGCAACGAGAGAGTTTCTTTAAACATCCCGTTTAATTTCTGCGCAGGGTCAATACGGCTTGGGCATTATGATAATTGAAGGGAAACACGCCGAAGTCGGGCAAGGAATATTCGTATCGGATATTCAGGAAGGGAGTGCCGCCGAACAGGTAAATAGAAGAGCCCCGTCGTCCATGATTGATTTCCGAGTTCTTCCTATAACCGGGTATAATCAATGGTAAATTCGCTCCAGCATCGCAAGAAAACAATAGCCACTAGATATCGTCATTAGAGTTCCAAATGAAATTCGGCAAAAAAAAAAAAAAACAAAAAACAAAAAGAAATGTCCACTCAATGTTTCAGGCTGGTCTGCAAGTCGGCGACATGATACTCGCCGTGAACATGGATTGCCTTCTAGGATCTACCTACGACCAGGTAACGATTACAATGATTTATTATCCGAGGTAGAAAGAACGATTTTCTAAGTACCACATATCCTTGGCAAAGAGTGTCGTGCACTGTAAGCGGGTAATTTTCACACCAATCGGTAGACAATGAACAATTGAACTGATGAATTAAATCCCGCAGGCGACGAATCTTCTTAAGAAGACAGAAGGTGTTGTGAGGCTAACCGTTTGCAATCCGAACCAAAGTAAAGTAGCAGCAGAAGAGGAAGCAAAGGCCAAAGGAATAGAGTTGAAGGTAGAAGAAAAACGTAAGTGCACGGTATAAGAGGGGATCGCTCTGAATGTGGGATTTTTTTAAAACTGGTTAAACGAATCCGATAATTCATTCAGCGAAAGAGCCCGAGAAGCCGAAAGAACCGGAACCACCGAAAGACCCGAAAGACTGCGAAATCTTGGTCGGAAGAGAAACGACGATTGAATTCCCGAAAGATAAGGATAAAGCGATCGGCTTCGACGTAACGGGAGGATCCGACACTCCTGTGGTAAGACCGAGAAAAATCTCAGTGTTCTCCCGTTTTCCCGTAAAAAAAATGCCACTCGATGGACATTTCTCGCGTGGGAAACGGTGATAAAGATATGCCAGAGATACTCGAATCGTGGTAAGGTTCTTGAACGAACGATTTCACTCCGTTCTTTGCTTTCAGGGTGGAGTGTTCATACTCGACGTGTTTCCGGATGGTGCAGCAGGAAAGGACGGTCGATTAAAACCGGGGGATCAGATAATCGAGATGTGTCACGAAAGCTTTAAGGAGATAGAGCAGGCGAAAGCACACGAGGCGGTCCTCAAAGTGACCGTGGGCCCGGTAAGATGTTTCAATATATATCCCGAGAAAAAAAAAAGAAATGTTCCTTACTCAATCGTTCCTTTATGGCGAGTAGAAATGGTATAACTAAGCTCCTGGACGCTGCATAAAACGAAACCATTAAATCGCCTGGATTAATTAGCACATTGTCAATATTTCTCAGGTACTAATGATAGTGTTTCGTGATGAGAAACCACCGGAAGAGATAGATGTTGAGCTTCAAAAGAAACCTGGCAAAGGAATAGGTCTTTGCTTGACTGGCTTCAAGAGCGGCAAGGGAGCTTACGTGTCGGACATGGTAAGGGATCAAATATACTTTTCTGTCTCTTTTTCGCATTATCACGAGTCCTTTTGCTTTAACAGGTTGCAGGCTGCAGTGCGTTAGAGAGTGGGAAAATCGTGAAAGGCGACAGGGTAATATCAGTAGGTGGACAGGACGTACGCGAGTCTCCCGTCGAGGACATTGCTGTACATATGAAAGTATCTAACCCGGTGCAACTGAAGCTCGCGAGGTATAAAGCTGCCAAGCAATGACAGGTGAGAGTCCCTAAACGGATTTCCAACAGACGTTTCTTCGGTAACGATGGCGAAGGCTTTTAACACTCATCCTACTCCGTCATTCTCTTCCAGGGATCCGCAAACAAGACCTGCACATCCCTCGACCCGTGCCCGATACCGTGGAGGGTACCGTGCAGAAATAGGGGACTTTAGTGTGATATAAATTTAAAAGTTAGCGTTAAAGGAGCTAAGCTTAGTCTAGACTAAGATGTAAATGATTTAACAAAGTCACACTTGTACGTAGCACTACCAAGTAGTATTCCGAAGGCCACTGGACGTAGCGAGTGATTATAAAATATTCGATCGTAAGGGGGAAATTCTAGGAGAATTTGGAGGACGATCGAAGGCTTCGTTATTAAGAATTGTAATACCTAGGCGCCCACTAGACAATGGTCGTAGATACTGCGATCGCAAATGCTAAACTTCAAGACGTCTGCATTACTTTTTCACGACGGTTTTGGAACCGGGAGAAATACTCGCCGTGATACTCAAGCTTCTGCCCGAGAGTATTCTAGATATACATAGCGTCACATCTCCGAGTCTAATTTCAGGAATACCTTAAGCATCCCGAGGTATTTTATACGGATGATTTTTCTTACGATGGCTACAACGTCCCAAGAGGCTTGAAACCGCTTTTAGCGTTAAATAATGTACGCGTGACTCGTTGACCGCGACACGCGTCTTGGGAAAATGCAGAAGCAGGATTTCTGTCGTACCGGGGTTGTTCCAAAAGTAATCTCTCAAATTCTTTCAGGCTACCGTGCCCTTCTGTTCGATTCAGCAAACCCGTGCCAAACAGCGGCGCGATAAATGCCATCATTCGGTGCATCGAGAAAGTGCGTTGTTACGGAAGAATGTTATCACCACGGTATCACTGCCAAGCAATCATAAGTCGCTACAAGTTAAGTACTACATTTTCTTTAGCGTCGATCACACCGCTCGCAAGTATACAACTGATTGATGGCATCCTGATCGTAATGCTACCGAGGCTAGGCAAGTGCTCTCGCAAAGTTCATTTTGGTACCCGGAATATTTGGTACCATTATTCCTTCAATTTAATTCCGCCTTCGTGATCTTCAATTTCGCGCGGAATGAAAATCCGGACATTACATTTGAGCAACCCTCGTACAAACTAGAAAGGACCAGGATCCACGTAATTCGTAAAGTTGTATCTTTATAAGATCTAGATTTAGACGTTGATCCGATGCGTAGCGTCGAGATAAATTTTACACTACCTTAATTGAACATGTAATTGACAAATAGATAGATCAGACTTCGATTTCACGCTAACACCCTGACAATGTACAATAAAAAGCTGTTTCTACTTAGGAAACAGGCACGAGCAAGAGGATGGAGAGTTTATTTTTCTTGGACCCAGCGATATTAAACAAGACCTTCGTCATGATATATCACATTGGAAGAAAATCGTGAAAAACTCATACCGTGTTTATACTATAGTTACATGATTAAAGCGACTGGACTAAGAACCTTATATAGAGTACTTTTAAAGTTACACGCTTGTGCGTTGAGGACTCATTTTCCACCGTAGAGTAATTGTGCAGCCCTTCGCACATTTTTCGATTATTGGCCAGTGGTACATTTTATAAAAGAAGTCGAAGTGCTTTGTAATCGTTCAGTGATCCAAAATACGAAGATTACCAGATACTATTTTGTTCTCTAAGATGCTACCCGAGGGCAGATCTATACGTTCGCCATGATTGGCAATGATGATGACGGTACCCTTCAAAGAAACCCTTTTCCCGAACGTGACATCACCTGACACTGTCAAATGATCCAACTCCAGAATATCAGGAACGGTACCAAATCTCGCTAGGAATTCCTTCACCTAAGACAAAATTTCCGTGTATTAACTATCACTTCATTCAAATTATCTGAATTATCCATTACAAATATTTCACGATTCCATGCATGAATAATATTCATGAATTTTAATGCTCATAAATTCAGAACTTATCACGGTTGTATTAACTGTTAATTGTCATTCCAAGGTACCTTAGAGAAATGAAGGTCGCCGAACTTAACGATGGGCGTTGTGGCGAACATGCGTTGAGGACTCATTACCAATGATCCATTGCGCAAACTGTAAAGGTTGCTCATAACCAGCAACAGATCTGACGTCTTTTTCACTGGCAAGAATCTACTACGTGGTACTTTGATACCTAATAAAAAAAGCATTGAATTATGACAGTCATTGTTTTAAGATTCTTCCGATAATTAGTTCATTTGCGTAAAGACGCTTACCCAAACTAGCCTCAAACGATTTCATGGCTGCTCCAACTGCAGTCTCTAACTGAATGACATTTACTCCTCCAGGGAAATTTTTATAGTTGACAATAATTTCCATATTAAGTGTCCTCTCATCGAGTACCCTTTTAATGGCTGCAAAAAGCAAAGTCAAAATTATTGGACGTATACGTTCTAATAAAAGATTATTCTTCATATTTTTTCCTGAAAGAGTACAAATGTATAGGAAACGAATTTCCATACCATCAAGCTTGATCCATAAATTATTTGTATTGAAAAATTGGAAAGTCTTCACGGACTTGAAGTCATCCACGTGTTCCACAGGTACCTGCGCGATCTCGAGAAGTCGCAGTTTCTTTTCATATTGAATTAAGGTGCCACCCTATTACCAAGAAAGATTTACATTTGAACTTATCCATTTGCATGAAAATGAACTAGCTTATATAAGTGACAAAAACAGAACAATAAATAAGAGTTATCTGTCCGCGATATTACCTTTACGTCAGCTCTCGTCTTACTCGTCACTTCCATGACGAATTCAGGAGAGCTGTTATTGGGTGGTGACATTAATAAGTTTAAGATGCCCAGGTCAACGGTCGCTCCCAAATTATCGACATTAGAGATGAAACAATATTGACGACCCTGAAGATACAACAAAAAAAAAATAGTCAAGCGAAACCTTATCGTACTGATCGCTCGTTGATGTATCTTTTTTTCATTACCTCTTGTATAAATTGATCTAACAGTCCAGAATTTTGAAAACTCTCGTAGAAGTCACCGTGTCCTGGTGGATACCACCTGAAATGAAAAGAACTTTCAGTTTCTACGAGACGCCTCGTAACGAGGAAGAGAGTTTACGCCAAAAAGAACTCACGCCTCGATGTCTCCGTGCACATCGTAAGTTTTAGCAATAGGTAGAAGTGACTCCCGATCAAAGCGCGGATAGCAGCTCTGATTGAACGTGTAAATCTGCACATCGATCGTTTTATATTTCCTGATGACCCGTTTCGTATCTTCGTCGGTGTTGAAAGAATTCATCAGGATCAGTGGGACGTTTGCGTTGTAGGTTTTGTTCAAGTGCTACCCATAAACAATCTCAATAAGATTAAAAATAATACATCTACATCAATATCTTAAATCAATCGGTCAGTGGGAAAAAGTCGCTTAAAGGGCTTATCCAAGATTAATATTCACTTCGATTTGCTGCACGGTGAGATCCAGGAAAGTCAGATCATTGCGGACGGTGATAACAGATTTCGGTCCATGACAACCCATAGTAGTCCCAAGACCTCCATTCAGTTTCACCACTATCAGTTTATTCAACATGTCCTTAATTAGTTCAGCCTTCGGGACAGATAAAGTATCATAATCCTGCACCTAAAACCCGAAGACAAACGGAGTTACACATAAATCGGCAGGAATTTTTACTTGAGGATAAAAGAACACAATACACAAAGCCGTCGAACGTCCTTCCTTTGATCGCTCTTTATCGCTCTTAATCTCGCGACACCGCCTATATTGAGATAGTAATTGAAGAACGATCGAACAAGGAGTTTAATTGAAATGACCAGGGCTTGAGTTAGCGCATATTCGAATTTTTTCAGAGATATTTCAAGCCTGAACTAATTCCAGGGCACTCGAGGAGGACCGTACCGCTTCTGGTGGTAATTTCTCGATGTGATCCCAGTTGAAGGGAGGGCCCTCTTCCTTAAGGAATCTCTCAAAAAGTCTCTCGAATCCCTCGAGCTCGCGGCCGATGAGTTCCTGATCCTTGAGCGGCGCCGTCGACTTGAGCCGCAAAAGTTCCTCGTGGAGTTCATTTTGTGCGTCCCTTTTCGTCCTTTCCCGAAACGCCTGACTATCGGAAGGGCTCCGTTGGTGGCCCCTCCCCTGTAAATGTTTTCTCTGTTACTTCACCGTCTCCAATAAGTGCCTTGTACCTTACTGGAGAAAAATTCAATATTAAGAATCTCATTAAATTTCCAGCGACCTGTATATACTTCCTTTGCGAGATAATGTCTCCTTACGAACGACTTAACGATGTGCGAGCTATTGACCAACGCCGATAACCCAATAATTAATTTAAATTACATCCATCAGTGGAGTTGAACCTCCGATGTTTAGGTTCGATATTTGGAAGCCTAAGCTCTGGAAAAATCGACCTTACGATATCATTCCTCGGCTTCGAGGAAGAAGCGAAAGTAAGTAGGAAAATACATAAATTTTCCTCTTCGACATTGGTTGCACTCGAGGGTATTGATTAGCTTTATCGAGGAATCTCAAGGTCGGTCTTTAAAAGAAAAAAAAAAGGGAAAAAAAATTAAGATCTCCTCGGCTAACACGTTTTAAGGGAGTTTCACCTTTTGGAGAAACTCGACCGAAATCGAGACGTAAGAGAGAGTTTTGGCATCTCGCCATGTACGTGAAATGGTTATGTCCGCTTACGCAAAGGAAAGAACTCGAGGAACTCCGCGTGATAACAACGACCCCGATTAAAGTGACCCCGACGATATTCTGCTTTAGTAGTTAAGAACATGAGAGATCATTCATAGAGTTAACCACTGAATCAAGACAAAAATTTCCTTCTTCCTCTTCTCCTGGAATGTGCTTGATCGTTAAAGAAGAACCGTCCATTATTCAAAGACTGTCTCAAATATTAATTAACTCCTTCCGTTGGGACAAAAAATTTCAGGAATCACGTCGGCTATTAATAACCGAGGGATTCGTTCATTAGCATTAAATTCACAGATCGTAACGAGTTTGCTAATTGAACGATAGCGCACTGACTTGTAGTATCGACGCAAGTGCGATGTGACGTAATATTGTTTGGAATGGAAATCTAGAGCGATATAAAAATATCATCTGGATGATCCGATTAAAGAGACGATGAGAGATATTAATTTTTCCAGCATTTACGATACACGCAACGTTCCGGGGAATGATTTCGTAATGACTTGGACGTTTCGCGGAAATTGCGAGTATTCCACAGGGACTATTCAATTATTACGATCCACATACCAAGGACGTTGGAAATGCACATTAAATGACGGTACTCGTTTAATGAAAACCTCGCCTAAAGAGTAATTAAACGGCGCAATGGTTCCGACATGCTCCGATATTTCGTAGGTCTCTTTTTTTCATCTCTTCTTTTTCGAACAATTAATTCCTTCGGCTTAATATTTAAATTCTATTCGGTGTAAAGATGAATTTGAATAATATCCAAAATGAGAATCCTGCTGGGAACAATAGACAGCTGTTAACGCACGTCGAGATTTCACGACGAAGCCATGCGTATGTAATTAAGGTAATCATTATCAGACATTACCACAAATACGGACGCTGAGCGCGTGTACCTTTCGTGAGACTTAATTCGGTCGAAATTTTATCAATGACAGATTACACAATTCAAAGGCCTATACAATTAAGAATGAGAAGAACCTACTTCTGTAGTTAAACAAAATTGGGATTGCTGAAAAAGGGCGTACACGTGTGTTTACATACTCTGCACGTGTCAACGTCACATGTCAACTTGTCAAAATTCGTTCCGTCGAAAAAGAAGGGTACTTTTCCATGTGCACGTGAAAAGTAATACAATCGCATCATTCTTAGATAACGTATCGTTATCACCAAATGAAAGATTCATCAAGCGTGATCCTTTATTTCTAAATTCCGTAGATTGCATTTGATAATTGCATTTGATCAATTGCTGACGAGTTTAGCGCCTCGATGCGAGTCTCACCCCTCGCGTGAAGTCTCGCTCGATCGGCGATTTGTGAAACAAGGATTTTGTTACCAAGTTTCAGTTATAGACCGCAGACTTTCGATACCGCCGTGATATCAGTTTACAGTCCCGGTTTGATAAAGTGCACTGAGCTTCCCCGGGGTGACTTTACGTTATTCCGTTGATAATTACGATGATTCGAGAAAATCTATTCCAGGTTCTTGGATCTCGGATCCATTACGAGTTCTGTCTTTAACCCTTTGAACGCGAAGCCATTTCGACATAAGGGCGAAATTCGTCTGACCGTGCAGGCAATATTGGACCAAACGTCGGGCGCCTTTAGGCGCTCTTAATAACCGAAGGGATAATTTCTGGGAAAAAGAGATCGATTAGCCATAGCTTCTGGAAATATTTCGTGTAATACGGAAATTTGACATAATGCTGCCATTGACCGGTCGAGGAGCGAAATAGGATCGACCGTGACTGACAGGAGAGTCACCGTGCTAGAGGCCAGTCTTATCGTACTCGTTTAGGATCAAACGACAAAACGGCCTTATAGTATCAGGGCTGAACATTCCACACGTTCTCACATTACACATACACGTTTTAACCGACGATCAGTCGGTAGTTGCGCAATGTCATGACGTCCAGCCACGCGCAAAGAAGTCGAGTTGTGGATTCCATACCGCTCATTATACCAAGAACGATTCGTTAAACTTACAAATTTCCCAACACGAAGGGGCGACATTTAACACGTGCCACGTGCATGTAATGCTAAGAATATGTCACTAAATCCTGCTGGTTCGGTTCCAATAAACGCTCTATCACAGTCTCCAAATGTTGCAGACGTATTAAAGAAACGCGACGAGATAAAGTCGGAAGGACAAACCCTTTACCCTCAATCAGACTTACGATCACGGTGACGCTAGTAAAAACTATTTATTCGCGTCTTTAATGACGAAATTGTGAAATTGAAAAATAATTATAAGACCAGCTAGAGACTTTTCCCTTCTGGTTTCACTTCAACGAGCCTTCAGAAATGTTCACCGACACTGATAAAAATGCCCATATCAATATACATGCTCAACCATTGGTTATTTCGATGCCATAATAAAAATTACAGGAAAGTTACATTGAACATTATACAAAATTATAATGTAACATTACATTAAACTCAAGTAAACAGTGCATCAATACGGTAAATATACAATTTTAGGGGTATTTATACATTTTCTAATTTGCAATTCTTCCGTTTTCGCTTTCCCATGTGAAACTTAAGTTATGAAGTGGGTAAAAAATGTACGTAGATTTCCATAGATTTTTATCAGTGCAAGAAACTGGAATCTTTTAAACCGCAGTTCGAGTAGATCCGAAGTCAGCAGAGCTTCGCATTTCATTCTGTTACAAATGACGAAACATCCATCCGGTTTTTGCAGGCGACTCGACGATCCTCGTGCCTTTCCCCACTTCAAACGTGTAATCGTATTAAACACCAGGTTTTACTTAACACCAGAGCTTCCGGTTCAGCCAGGAAGATTCGGACTTCCGGCCGAACTTCCTGATAGTCCTAGGAGATGCTTTTCCACCACGCCGGAGTTAACCGATAACGTATTTATTCTTACCGCGAACTGCACGTATGTTAACATCCCGAGTAGAAAGTGTGCGGCCGAAAAGAACTCCACCACAAAAAACTCCTATCACAGAGTCGATTTTCAAAACGGATCCTACCGTCCAGCTGCCTGAGAACGTCTGCGAGCGGCTCAGGCCATAATTTGCATTTTACTTCTCCTTTAGCCTATCCTTTTTCGCTTTTTTTAGGTCCCCACTTTAGTATCACCGTCTCCCCCTTCGGACTGGCTGTCCACTAATCGCAAGAAAAAGTTATTTGTCAGTTGACATATCCAATATGAGCTTTCTTTTTTATCTCCGGTTGACCCTCGAACTCAAAGATAGGGTTCTGTCCTGAACAATCCAGCAAACGAGATGTCATAAACCGCGAACAATTATAAAATGAAGGTCCTTTCCTTCGTTATTTTAAATTTATATTTATTGTTTACTCGTAACATTTCTTCCAGGTAGATCACGCGTGCGCGTGCAATCTCGTGCAAGTGAAGGATCTCGGTGCAGTTATTGCGCCACGACACGTTTTACTGCATCGTCGAGGACGGTAACCCATTTTTTTTTCTTTCTTTCTCTCCTCCTCTCGCTTCACTCAATGTTACATTTTTATCTTATCGACGTATCCGATTGATTTCTCCAGACTGCGTTATCGCGCCGGTTAATTGCAAACTAAGTTTTTGCCTGGTGAACTTACCGACACTTTGGGTCCTCACTATTTTTCGGGGCCAGTGGAAGAAATTATTCGAAACATTAATGCGTGAATATCTAAGGCAGCCATCTTGGGACATCTTTCCAGAAGATAAGCATTAATTAAAAAAGATAAAATAGAAAAGGACTTTCCTCACAACCGTCTTATCGTGAAATGCAATTACCGCAATCAACAAGTAACCGAACATTCGCGTGCCAATGTTTCATGCACTCCCTATCACTGCCCTTGAAAAATAATGAGAAATTAAGGTGATGTGGCATCGAAGAGGTTTCGTTTATAAAACTTTTCTCCCAACTCGATTTACCGAATAGTTTGAAACTTTACAACGTGAATAGGGAGACTATAAGGAAGGTCCTGAAACTCATGAAATTTCAATTCTTTTCAAATCTGTTTATAGGTATTTTAAAAATAGTTTATAAAAAATGAAATTTCAGGACCTACCTTAGGGTTTCCATATTCACGTTTTAAAGTATGAAACGATTTGAGACACCCAGCTCGTAGAAATGTTTTATGAACGATTGAGCTTTCGGATGCCACTTTCACATCCCCTTAAGGTGCCGATAAACTCACCTGATGAGTTTTAGGCTTCCTCGATAATTAGTCATTTCCTCCGATTGTTACAAGAGGAATAATTCCACCGGATTCACCCTTATGAGGCGATCTTGTCGATGAACTTCGTTGCACTCGCACTAGTAATTTCTGACAAGTCAGTTATCATTTTAATTGTTTTAATTATTCACCCATGTACGCATCTAGCAAACCCGCGGATTTTGTACTTGCAGCGAAAGAGAGAAAACGAAAAAACCTTTAGTCATCTAAATGCGTCGAATTCTTTTAGCGAATTGATAGTGAAAAGGTACATATGACGAATGAGTCATGAATGTTGATTCACTCACTGATAATAAGTACTCTCCGCGGCTTTTGAACATGACCAGGGCTGGATCCGTACTCAGCCGCATGCGTGAAATCTTATCCGTCGGAGTAACGAGTATTTGACTAAAAAAACTCCACGCATCAACGTATCGGCGATAAAGTCATTATCCGACTGTCTACCGATAGCTACGAGCAGTCCGTTAAGTACTCCTATTTTCATATTATCGAGATTCCCCCACCAGGCCCCAGGCCAACGTTTATCGCGCTATATTCCTAGGTCCTTCCAACCGTGTGTACCGAATTATCGCACCACGTGCTCAACTGAATAATCAATGCTTCAGTTGAGGCTTTAAGGCGCTATTTTTCGATTTCAATAAAGGTTTAAAGGTTTACTTGATTTTCCTTCTCTTCGTTCTACTGGTATCAAAGTGGTCACCGAGTACGAGACACTACTCTTTCTCCAGACCGTGATTGTGTTCTCCTATAAATAATGTATCTCGACTGTTATACTCAATTCTCGCTAAGCATTGTGAAAAATATGATTTTTTTCCTAAAAACATTTAAAGAGAAATTATTATCCTATCAATGTAGAGAAGGAGGAACGTTTAGATTAGAATGCGGTGAAGTGGTTGTTTTAAAAATAAAGTGACAGATACAAAGAATGGATATTTGTTAATGAATCCATCGTCTTAAGACCTCTTAACAAAATACGGTTACAACCTGACCTAATATACAAGAATATTACTACTGCTGGACGATTATACCGTTTAATACAAACTTCAACATTTGTTATTAGTCGAAATGCTAACATATATTATTTTGGATTAATAAAATTGGAGCGCAATAAAAAATTTAACTAAGCACTCGTGCTATTGTCACCTCGACGTCAATGAGTACATAACAAAAACTTGTTTACACTTTTTTGACTGGTATGACGTACAATATTACCAACCAAATGTGACAATTATCCAATCGCTAATTACTCTACCTATATCACTGCCATCATATTAAAATTCTGTAGCATATATATTTACTAGTCTATTGTACTTCAATAATTGTATCTTTTTAAAAGTAACTGGTATACCGTTAAAGAATATTTTAAATTGACTATCGATGAGTTACGAAGCGCAGCGAACCCAGTGACGGGTTCTTCAATATCTCAAATATTCGTTTCTCTGTCGAGAGACGCTTCCCAAAACGTCATGAATGTTTTATTTTATGTACAAGAAAGTAGAAAACGTTTATTAAGAGAAATGTCAAAGTGACAATACATAGTGCCTTTGAGCCATCATATACTGCATGGCAAAAAGAATGTTCCTTTACCTTTCTATCGTCGATAAGCAACATCCTGATCCTTCCTTAACTGCTTTCTTGTCCCTCGAACGGCACCTCGCCCTCTAACGTATCGAGAAGGTCAGAGAGGCAAGTAGTTCCGAATATACCTCGAATATACCTTCGTATACCTTAACTTAACCTCGCTTTGCGAGCGCTACAGACGCCTTTTGGCGAAAGCAATATATATATGTAGCCATACTCGAATGCCAGTTTTCATACGCAACGCGCACTCTCATTCATGGAATAATTTTCTAGCAGAACTAACCTACAAATTAAACGATTATAAACAATATTCTTGAAGTACTTCCTATTAATAGTTGCATTGGTAATATTTTCGCTCTCTCACACGGATTATTATCCTGATAAATTTATCTCTCTCCGTTGCATTGTGGCATGTTTCAGCATGTATCTACAGAGATGAGCAGAGATGAGTTGGGAAATTACTCACGGGCAGGGTCGCGCGATCGCATCCTGTGCTGCCCTCTGATTTCGTACGTTAGCTTTCACAGTTTTTTGCCCCCAAAGGCGGCGCAACGAATTTCTGGTAGGGGCTCGCGCACTCGCGATGGCTGTTCCATCTACCAGTCGCCGTTGGCGGCTCACGTATTCGTGATAGTAATACCATGCGGCAGTTGACGGTGGTGGCTTACCTACGCTTACCGACACTGCCCGCTTTTGATGATAAGGGAAGAACACTCGTGGCGCCCTCTTTGACTTTACTCTTCACTTACCTTGTTTATTTTATCTGCAAATAGGGGGCAAAAAACGGTGGAAGCTAACGTACGAAACCAGAGGGCAGCACAGGATGCGATCGCGCGACCCTACCAGTAAGCAATCTCCCAACTCATCTCTGGCGTGCAGCTTGCGTCACGGAATTCCGTCCTTTTCCCCGCGGCATGTTGTGACGTTCGCGCGATTCGCTCGTGGAGAGTCGGCCCCGCCAAAGCAAACGTTGACGAGTCTACGCTCGCACGAACCAAAAGTCGGCCGGACGCTTTCCCTTTCGCTCGCCCAGGAACTTCCTCGTAACTCTGCAACTAGTGAACGAGGTCCGGTGAAATCGTATCGGTTCCTTGCCAATAAGTGATTGGACCTGTTATGAAGGTGAGGCTGGTGGTCCTTGATCCTCTTGATCAGGTAGTCCTTGTGACTCAGGTATACTCGATTATACTGTCCTTGACAAAACATTTCCTCTCCGGTAAGTTTTTAGTGGCCCGTAATTTTTCCTCGATGATACGCTCGCCTTTTTTGTTATGAATATGTAGATACGTGTCTCTAACATTTATGTACTAAGCTTCTCGGAATGGTCTACGGTGATGAGTGATATCCAGAGAGACGTTTTTGGTTATTTTGGTTGAATTTTATATTCCTTTTGGTTGATTCGACTGGCATTCAAAAAGAGTTAATGCAAATCTTGTTCGTATTCATCCGGTATGAACGCTGCATGGAGCGATTGGAAATAGAAAAGATCTCTCGTTACGTCAATGAGAATTTTTTCAGTATAAAATGACCCAAAGATAAGATATGTCGATGTCAGGGTTATGTTTGTCTTGCTTCCCATCTAAGGTTAGCGATTGGAATTGCATTTTCTTTAGGATTTTGCAAGTGGTGCTATAATGGTATGTTAAATGGCGTAATTAAGAGCCGGCTACAAATTGCTCTTGATTTGAGCTTATCTTCTGTTTATTGTATACATGCCATAAAGTGTTAAGGAATAAATGATAATAAAATAAAAGGAACGCGTGGAAATTGGATTTTTACAGAAAGACATGGAGAAGAATCAAGGAAATCCCAGTAGTAGTAACGAGCCGTCTGCTCCACCTTTATTAGCTCCTCCGTCTTATGAAGAAGCTATCGCTCAATTTTGTAGCTCGGGAACTCAAAATGTGCCAACTCCAGCGCCTTGTAAGTAGAGAGTTACTGCATTTATTATTAAATTAATGTCCGTATATCTATGGGAGGTACGATAAAAATATTGCAAAATAATTTTCAGATCCAGTTCAGGCACCGATAACGAGGCCACCGGATGGAAGACAAAAAGATACCAATCGGTTCCCACAACCTCCGTACAATCCCCCGCAAACATTTACCGCTCCCTCCGAAGTACGAGTCGTTCACCATCACGTGTCTTACATTCTGGGATCAAACCCTGTAAAAATGACCTGTCCAACGTGTCACATGGACATAAAGACTACAACCGTTTCAGACCATCAACCTAGTGCACACATTTGCTGTATCGTTCTCTGCTTACTTGGGTAAGTCTTATTTCACATATTCCCAAAACTGGAACAACAAGTACGATAATTTGTTCTCGATATTCTTCACGCTACATTCTTATCGAAGTCCTGACTACTTTTTCATAAGTCGGGTATATCTCCTATCATCGTCTCTGGATAAACTAATTGCCCTTATCGGCAAAACAACTGAAGGAAAACCATTTGCATGATACGAAATCTATATCCGATGATTCAATTAGTCAAGTGTGAAGTTACGTCAGTTCTTGCCATATCTTTCGCGAAACATATTATTATTCAGCACTCTACCGTGAGGCGCATTACTCACTGTTGCGGCCCCGTTACCTGTAAAATTAGAGTAGACTGATAACACGATTACACAGCGTGTACATTTGCATATGTAAAGACCGAGATCCCGCCGTTTGTCGAATACAAACTGGGATTGCCAAGGCTAGCGTCAACTTCCCTGGTTTATTGAAGCGTCGTGTTACAGAAATTACCGTATCCTTTATCTTCCCTCTAGATGAAGTGACTTCTTCAGGTGAATACGTAACGAACTGCCGTGCCTTTTTATAACGCTCCAGAACCTCTGCACCGACTTCGGGGCACGCATACGTGCTCTACATACCTGACGAACGAAAATATACGAACTTTCTGGTGCATCGCGGAAAATATTCAAGTACCGGTTCTCCAATTGTGCTCTCTTTATATAGCTAGTAAATAACTTACGTACCATCTCCTTTACCGCGGAGAGGCCACCTAGAACGTTCCTCGGTTTTGTTTTGTATTCCAACAGTGATCCGCCGTTTTTGGACGTACTTCTTCCTTGCTCGTTGCCTCCGCACTTTTACCTCGCTGTTTACCTCCTCCCATGTACGCTCTTTGCAACGTGAGCACAATTCCGATAGCGCAATTGCGCGCCTGCGAACGCGTACGTCTGCAATTATGTATAGCACGGCATACATGCGCGTACAGCGGACGCCGTTGCGTCGTTTTCGGTCATATTTTCAAAATGGATCATATTTTATTCCGAGATGTTTTTCTTTGCTCGACCTTGTAAAGATCTTATGGGATATCCTCGCGGATGGAGAGGCACATTTCGAATTACGGGCAAGAAAAGTAATTGCGGTAATCGGAGTTCACCTAGGGTATCGGTATGGTTTAGTTCCCTCCCTTTATGGGAAGGTAAAGCAGTGCATTAGCGATAGCAGAGACTTCCTTTCACGATCCAGTAGTCGGGCTCGGGTGTAGTCATTGAATCGTGTGATTTGGGTTTAGATCCCCTAGTACCTGGTACCTCCTTTCATCTTCCTCCAATGTCGCCTCGTTATGCTAGATGTAAAAAGAGGAGAGATAATCCGGGATTAACGACTTCCCGCCCGCCTCGGTATTTACCGTTTACTCGTCACGTTTAGGTGCTATCATGTTTGCTTTTGTGTTTCAGATGTTGTCTTTGCTCATGCCTGCCGTATTGTATGAGTGCCTTCTTGAGTGTTCATCACTTCTGTCCGAATTGCAAAACGTACATCGGCACCTGGAAAGGTTGAACGTTTTAGTCCCCTTACGCTTCAGGCATACGTATTCGGACATGCCGAGTTTGTTACTTAGCACGACGGAGTCCCGAACGTTTAACAATAGCGACACTCGCTTTTTTTCAATTTTTTTTTTTTTCCTTTCTTCCACGTACTTTTAGACAGTACGTGGAATGAAATAGCGTACGTCAAAGCGTTCACCGATGCGCGGTTTGAAATTCTAAAATTAGGCGTCTCCGTTTCGACGAATCTCTGATTAGGCTAAGAAGTACATCTTAGGCAGCTACGTAGTTAGTTATAGATAAGGCGAAGTGATATCAAAGATATGACGTTTAGTTTTGTGTTGTACACGAACTTAACAGTGTTTATGATGGAGGAGTGAGCGAAATAGAAAGTAAACGTGGTGAATGTTTCCTTTTTGGCCGAGCCTTCCTTCGGAGACGGGTGGATTGTTCATTTTGGAACCTAGGGAGTTTATCTAGAAAGGACTGTGATCACCCGAGATACTATTTTTCCCCATTCTCGAAACTTTGACTGTCTCGGCCATTTTTTTTCTTTTTTCTTTTCTTTTTTTTACTAACTACCGTTGTTAAGGTCTTTCCGCTCCTCGAGTTATTACGAGCCCCCTGTTTAGTTTATCGAGGTGGTATGTAAAGTACTATAGGGAATTTTGTATCGGTATTTACAACCTTTTGTAACGACGTTTTACAACCTTTTGATGGATGAACATTTTTCATGGATTAGAGTAAGTAGATGTATATTGAGCTCTGTGGGAGAGGAACGTATGTGCCGCGTTGACTGTTTTCTGTCCAAGTAAATTTCCGTCGCGTTAAGATCATCTCTCAAACTGAGCTACTGTTATTCCCAGAATATGAGAAAAAAAAAGTAATTATATTCTTTCCTCGATGTGCCAAGGGAGATGATCGCAAATTATTTAGCAGTAGTTAGTCCGACAGAAAGAGTTAGTGTATGTACACCCTCGCGAATTATATTATTACCGAGGTTTTGTAATTTTCGGATTTTTTTAGTTTTTTTTTTTACCATACGTACTTGGATTAGCTATTCGTACTTTATCTGTGTATACAGATACTTGTATATGTACAGCTACATGTGCACACGACGTATTGTATGATTCAAGAATTATAGAAGTACATTTTAACGTTTATATAAGGATATGGTCCTGAAAGTACACTCAAACGTTCGTGTCCTCAGCGCACCGATGAAAATAAAATTGCAGAGCTGTTAATATTAAACTAATAATTATTGACATCAACTCTGCGTTCTTCCTATCCGTGAATTTAGTAATACTCTGTAAATTAATCATCCCAAGTCTATATATGTATATAGGAATTAATCCTGTTTAAGGAAGAACGCATAACGATGCAGACCAATAAAGCGAAGCTACCGTATTAATATTAACGCGCATTGCCGATATGCGAAAGGCGTTTTTTAGCGAACAACTATTTTGGCAGAATTTACACGAGGAATTCGAGGAAGTTGCGATTACTTCTTCTAACTGGATTTTATTTTCTGCGGTTGTGATTGGTCGTTGATTATGCGGTTACTGCACAACCTTAAATCTCTTTGGAACCGAAGTACGTTTTAACGAACAATTAAGGTATCGATGTTGTACTAACTCGAATGTTATACGCATGTAATATTATTTTGGGGATGCCTTTTGACGATAGGGAAGGAAATAGGGAAAAAAACACGATGCGTGGTCGCGAAAGATTTAATCGTTGTTGAATTAAGTCAGCGTGAGACTGTCCGACGCTTTAATTACGTCGCGTTTTGAGCGGCTAATTAAAATGTACGCTGGATATTACGAGTACAATAAAGTACGATCTTAATTATATTCGACGAGGGGAGGAAGTCCTAGGAGAAATTAAATCCTTGTACAGTGACGTGCTTGTATCGTGGACATGTGCCAAGTCCTGTCATCGGTGTACCTTAAGTGTGCACTTTCATTAAGAAATTTATTTAATTACGTATCGTTTGTAGAACGCTTTGCGGTGTACTTTAGCATTGCGAGGATGGCGAAGAGGGAGTAATACTCGGTGGGATAGACATCAGCTTCCTTTTATTTCATGATCCGACCGAACGGCGGAGAGAGGGCCGAACGACCGACATGGGCTCAATAAGAAGTACAGTGTCGATAATTACCGAGTCGTTTATATAATAGTAATCGTTTAAGAGTATAGAATCGATGAAAAAATCGAGAAGTATAGCGCAGCGAAAATTTCGTAGTCTAACGGCGGGTAATATATTAAATATTAAACAGGTCAGACCTCTAAGTAGTCCGGCGCAGTGGCTACATTGTCTTGTCGAACAAATCCTGTTTCGGCGGCAGGAACTGCTGTTGAGCAACCGACGACAGTTCCATGTCGATGGGCTTCGTGTCGTCGTACAAGGCCGGGGCCTCGCACAAGATCGTAATGGTACCGACGATGGAAGAAATCGAGAAGATATAGAGGAAGAGGCGGTCCAGAACCATCGCGACGAAGCCCCAGTCCTGGTCTTCCTGGAAACGCGAAAAGACCTCATTTACATATACGTGAGTTCCAGCAAAGAGAACAATTTTATCCTGAATGGGAAAGATCACGAGGGTCGAGACAAATTTTTTTTGCCGGCATCTGGGAAGCAGCCTTGAAAAGAATCGCTGCTAGTCGTTCCTCGACCTCGATCGTCGATTACAGGAAACGTGGAATATCCGTTCGTCCTTACCGCATTGAACTCATCCTGCCTCTGTATGTGGTGCTGGATGAACATCACATTGTGGAGCGCCTTCTCCAGCTCGAAGGGATACTTCTTCCTGGGCGTGACGTCGCTCAAGGATTCATCCAAACCGGACATGACGGTAGGAAGACCATTGTAACCACCCATGCCAGCCCCGTACCCACCGACCAGGAACCTATTGTGAGCAGTGGTCGTGTGCAGTCCGTTGCAACCTGATAGAAATAGATCGTCACCGTACGACCCTGAAGAGCGTGGAAGGAAAAAAGATGAGATGATTCGTGAGCACGAGTGAACCGGGCCGAGGTGATGGGCGTATATCAAGGAATGAGTCGACCTCACCTTCGATTCGCTGGCGACGGATCGAGTCGGGTGAAGAGACCATGGACGCGGATTGAGCAGCTGCTGCGACAGCGGCATTGAACTTGTCCTTTTTCCCTCCGGATCTGCCGGATCTGCGTCCTTGGATTTTGTGCGCGGCGAGGTCGTTCAGGAGATCGTCGGGCACCCTCATCAGCAGGAGCTTCGGCAGTCGCCTTATGAAGATCTTCCTGACCCAGGGTGCCATTTTGTGCGTGCTCGGCTTCCGGTAGTGGACATTAAGGATGAATATCGTTATCACCACCGACAGACCCACCAGGATCATCGTGAACAGCAGGTATTTCCCGAGTAGGGGCAATGCCAGGGAGGTCGAGGGGATGATCTCCGAGATCAGGAGGAAGAACATTGTCTGAGAGAGGAGGATGTTGATGCAGAGGGCGATCTTCTCGCCCGAGTCGGCCGGCAGGTAAAACGCCAGCACCGACAGGTACGAGATGCTGACGCAGGGCACGATCAGGTTGACCGTGTAGAAGAGCGTCTTGCGGCGCAGGGTGATGTTGAAGAAGATGTCAGGGTACGGCTCGTGGCAACAGGGGTAGTACTTCTCGTGCCGCTCTGCTGGCACCCCCAGAATGTCCCATTCGACACTTGGGTAGTACTCCCGCAGGTCGATACCCACTTCTACATTGTTGTCCCCTACGTTCTGGTTGATGTGTTTCAGGTCGATCTATGGTAGTCGAAGATAGGAGCATCAGTTGCGATTATTAACGGACGGAGGGTTAAAGCGGTCGGCTAGGTTTGCAGGGGCACCTGAAAGCCGTCGTAGGTCCAGGAGCCAAATTTCATGAAGCAAGTCTGCTGGTCGAAAGGGAAGTACCTAACGTCGATCTCGCAGGATGACTTGAATATGGCTGGCGGGGTCCACACTACCTTTCCTGTGTGGTGCAGGATGGCTTTCGTCATCGTCGTCACTCCGTACTCCCCATCGGCACTGAAACGACGATTCGTTTTGCCCACTCTGGAGGAAATACCGATTGAAGTACTCACTTATTGTACAGAACAATGTCCGGTAGCCAGATATGTTCGCTTGGCACGTAAAGTTCAGTCACGCCGCCATACTCTGATGGATCCCATTGGAACTTGTGATCCTGCCATTCCTGAAAGAGACCCATAAATTCAATTAACTACCTCAATTCCAGCACCATCAGAGATTCTATAGAGATCTTCCGTTCTTCGCTTACATGCTCGAGCCACACGTTGGTCGTCAGGATTTGGTCCTTCAGGTTCTGGAATGCAGGACAACGATCTCGATTAGAATGATGAACATTGCGGAAAGACGAAGAGGTAGGAAGTTATCTAGGTTCTTCCATTAGGTAATGAAGAAGTAATCGTTAATCTCGAGGGATCCCTCACCAGGTCTATGAGCTGCGAAAGACGAAGGCCCAATTTGACGACGACGGTGTTCGTGTTGTTGGATACCGGTCGGATGAGTCGATTGTAGTTCGACAGGAGATCATCGTACAGTCTTTTGGCGTCAGGATTGCCTAGGCAGACTCCTGCTGCGAGAATCGGGAAGAACAAGTGTTGCAACATCTCACCCAGTTGCCTGGTACACTAGCCACGTGGTATCCTCGAGGAACATCCTGCGAACGATTAAACCCCTTCAGACCGATTTCAAAGTCAAAGGGGCGATAAGGTGCTCATCATGCCTAGGTGCAGGGAGATATCGGGGGAACCGACGATCAATGGACCCGAATAGCTCGGTCAATATGGGCCAATCGAAAGTTCCCCTGACAATGACGGGTCCAAACGAGCCTCGCGACCGATGCTCATTTTCTGTTACTCCCTGATCGTAACCCGACGTGACGTTTCGAACTACGAGCGGTAGGATCGATCCGCTCGTGCGTGGCTGCGCGATCAAATTGACCGAACGAGAAACTAAGTGCACGATCGTTAACCCCGTTGCAGTCGAACGAGGAGCACTTTGGGATCGATCGGCGAACGATTATCCGGGGAGTCAATGCTCATTCAGTTATCGCGCTAGCTAGCGTCACTGCATTATTCCCTAAGGGCACTCTTATTCCCGAAGAAGCATTCCGGGATCCGGGCGCCAACCTATTATACCGTCAAACGAAACGGAACGGGTGGTTCAATTCCCCATAAACAATTTAAACGATAAATTCCACCCACAGTCCTCGTTTTCCACGCGAAACTACCGGGGGTGGTTTTGAAGCATCGCCTCGACTACCGAAACTGTAAGCATCTATTAAACCCGTCCTCGTTACGTTTCGCGTGGCATCCTCCCCGTATAATCGCGAACCTGTTGCTCCTGACCTCTCCCTTGGTTCCCGGATAGGGAGGCACTTAAAAGAAGCGAAACTAGAACCAGGTGACCGAAGTACCCGTGGGAAAAGTTAATCGGAGGTCGCTTCGATTTCCCATTTTCTTCCCCTCTGTCCGTTTCATCCGGACGTAGGGAGTCCCTTTCACGGGGAGAGATCCGCCTCGCGTCCGGGGACACCGAGTAACTGATGACCGCTTTCAGGGTTCACTCCAGGAGGGCGAGAAGTGGCGCGGGTCGAGGAAGGTCAGCCCGCTCCGGCTCGGCGAAGGTTACGGGAATCGAGCCGATAAGACGAAGCCCTACTCACAGCGGGGAGCGCACGTACTCGTAATCTCGTCAGAGAGGAGGTCGAGGTCCGCCTTCGTCGCGCTACGGTCCCCGGCGGCGGCTGGCATAGCCGGGCCGCTTCCACTGGTCAGTAGTCAGGGCTCGTGCAGGTCCGGCGCGGAGGAGGGGCGCGACCTTACCGACCGAGGCAGCGGCGCCGCGGGGAGCGCGAGATCCCCTCGCAGGGCTCGCTCGGGGTGCCGGAGAGTCGGCCGGAGGGTCGACCGGAGAGCATCACCGCGGAGGGCTAAGCCCATCGGCGGCGCATCGGCGGCGGGTCTCGCGAACGACCCGGCCCGAGACGAGGAGGGAAGAGCGAGGGACCGACAAGGAGGTGCGTAAGGTCGGTGGACCACTGCCCGGCGGATGATGCCACGCACCGAGCCACCGCCGAAGGATCAATAGCGACTGCGCGTGCGCCAGAGCGGTTCGACACGACGAGCTGCGCGGGACCGATCACGCCGCCACCCCGGGCACCCCGGGGGCGGTTCCACCCGCCCTCGCGCGCTCTCCATCGGCCTCTCCATCGGCTTCTCCATCGGGCCCTCCATCGGCTCTCCATCGGCCTCTCCACGGCGAGCCCTTGCGAAGGGGCGCCGTCGGGCCTGGCAAAATATTATTGGGAGCCGGGATCGATCCGGATTGCGGCCGCTAATGCGCCCGTTTAAAGGGAAATCCCGCCCCAGGAGGCGACCCCCCGGCTGGATGGGTCCAAGGGACCGATCACTACTCCTTGTATTTATATTCATATGCGAGAAGCGTATCGATACCGGGGTGTCGCGAGGGGCGATCGCTCGACATTGATTGGGCGCCGGAGATAATATCTCGGGTATCGATGCGTGGAGGTCCTCGCGTGTTCGCCCTCGACCTCGGCCATCGGGGGGCCGCGGTTTCGGCAGGCTCGCCCGAATGAATACTAATGAAAGGCAGCTGCGCGAGACGGGAGGTTAGGCGGGAGGGAAATACGGAACGAGATGGCCACTCGCCGCAGCTGGCGCGCTTCGGAACCACTCGATAGATTTACTGGACCGGCTCGGGATGAAACATTCATGTTCCGCCTTTGAGGCGCGATTCTCTCGTTTTCCGAAACCGGAGATCGACTCCGGCGATTTCCTCGCGGCGTCGAGTAATCTGATTGTTGGCATTTTTACAGGCCCGGCGATTCCGGGGATGCTCTCACAGTGGAGGCCAGAAAATGGCGATCGAGGGACCCTGGCGAACTCGGGCTGCCTCCGCGGGATTCCTCCGGAAATTCTCGACTACGGCACGGCGAATCTCCCTGCGGCGGATGCGGAATTTCGCCCCCGTGAGGAAAATTTCAAGTACCGAGGAGAATTTTACGGCGGCCAGCTCCGGTCCGATATTTCCATATGATAAATATGCATCGTGCGGGCTCGGGGGATACGGATGGAAGTACATAGCGGGTAAAAGCAGACGCGCGACGGCCCCGTCGCCGCTGCGGAATTGCCCCGCCTCCCCGGATTCGCGGCGGTTCCGCGCGATGAGGGACCGGAAGGTGTCCACGATACCACGACCTCGCGAAGCGGCTCCTAGCGTTGCACCTGCGCGCGGATGCCGCAACTGCGGCAAGCACGGCGCCGCGACGGCGGGCACTTCCGCCGCACCGCGTCGCTCTCCGTTTCGAGCTTCCTGCAGGGGGAATGTCTCCGAAGGGGGAGATCGACCTCTCGATATCGGAAATGGAATCCGCACCTCGAGTTGGTATCTTCTCCCTCGGTCGGGTCGAATGTTTCATTGAAAGCGGAATTTTATCCGGGGGAGCCGGAACGAGCCGACTGCCTTGCGGTATAAGACGCGGCATATAATCGCGCGAGCGATATTAACGGTCTTATTCCAATGGATTCCGTACGACAGTCGGGCCGCGATATATTCCCGCACTCGAGGGGAGTGCTCCCGCTGCGTTCAGCCGCCATTACTCAAAAGTGCATCGGTCTCCCGAGTCGCCGGGGGGCGGTTTACCGCGGCGGGGGGTCGAAACTTGCGACTTACCATCCGGCAAGAACGCCGAAGGTGCATAAACCGCGGTTTATTTACCGAGACCGGCGTTATAACGATCGTCGTTACGATTAGAATAACGGTTTTACGGGCGAGAAAGCGTCGCGGCGCACCCGCGGATGTGCAAATCCGGCCGGTGGTGCACTTTTATCAGCGGACTCGCCGGATCCTCCCGCAAAAACGCGGAAAACCCCGCTACGTCGAGACACCACCGGCCGAGCGACGCAGCGGAATTGCAGATTTCCCCGGCGCGAGTGCGCCGGCAATAGGCGATGGCCGGCGTCGCGGCGCGTTTTTGCGGAATCCCGCCGTCCCGATGCAACTACTCGGGGGGAGGAAGGGCGAATAAACGAAGCCTCCCCTTTTCCCCCCCGACTGGTCGCGTTAACGTCGACGCCCGTCGAAACGCTTCCGCGCGCAATTTTTTCCGGGGTCGCGTCGGTGCGGTTTCCGCACTGGAATCCGCGAGGAATGGTCGAAACGGCGGGGCGGATGGAACGGCGGGAGAGCCAGGGGTGATAATTAATGCACACTGCAGGAAAGTTGATTTTTGAGCTCGCCAGTCCGAAAACACGTTCCGCCCTCCGGGGGGTGGGGCGGGCGATAGTAATTGCGAATGATGTGCGGATAAATGCCCTTTACGCGGCGTCAATTGCGGCTTTTACTCCGACGCGGCCGTTCGTAATCGGCGATTCACGAGCGCGCGAGACTGCGGTAACTAGGGACAATCGTGACGCCGACGAGTCCTCGTCCATCCGGAAACGGCCGCAGCGGGGCGCTTCCGGTTTCCCCAGCTTCCGGTCCGTCGCGGTCCCGGGTCTCGGGCGTTTTATGGAAGATCGACTCAGGAGTTCCCATGTCCTCTGGAACGCAGGCTGATGCGATACCATCCATCCGTCGACGGAAACGTATTCCGCGTCGGAAGGATCGGCGGGAGAGAATTGGTTGCCGCCTCCCGATGAAAAAATTCCGATCGCACCCGGGGCTCGATGTAAGAGGGCGACGGGAATTTCGGGTGGACGAGGGATGTCCCAAGGCAGATCGAGGGGAAGACGGAAACGCGACGTCGATTTTTCGCGGGAAATTGGCCGCGTCACGCGCGACGCTGCCGAGCGGACGCGCCCAGGGCGTCGCCGTAGTGGCGGGAATTATCGTCCCGTCTGACATTCCGTCGACGCTCGATACAATCGCCGGGACTTTAACGTCGGATCTTTACGAGGATCGAGCGTTATCGATCGAGCCGCGTCGCGGCTCCCGCAAGGTCCTCGGCCCCTGCGGCCGATTCGAGCGGACGAGCCGCACCGGAAGTGGACCCGTGGCCGTAAATCAAACCGAATCCGCGAATCGCCGATGAAACGTTGTCACGCACTTAACGAGGCATTTAACGATTGCGGATTTAACGACGCGGTCGACGCTCGTCGAAAGAAAGGGAGGGAAGAATCTCGCGGGAATTAATGTTTATTTCTTTGATCGCTGATTATGGAGCATTTCTCCCGAAACTCTCATACCAGAGTGCACCGCTGTAATGGGGGGTTGCGAGGAGGGGCAGATGTTACCTCTTCCTTTAATCGTTATTTATAAATTAAGATGTATTTATTTTTTTTTCCAATTTTGTTCTTCTGTAATCCTTTTTTAACAGACAGGAGAAAGAGCGGATGTTGTCCCGGCTGTCTCTCGATTTAACGACTTGGAGATCCCCATCGGTTAGGCTGGGAAGGGGGGTTTAATATTTACCGCCGTGGCGTCGGAAATTTCGTTCTTACCTCGGTAATTACCATTTTAACTGCCTCGGCCCGGCGCGCGACACATAATAGTTACCGCACCGTATGCATTACCATCTTATAACCCGGTAACGTCAGCCGGCGTCGGCGTCGGACCGGCCCTCGTTATTACCACTTGCGAAGGCGCGTCCTCTCCTCGGGCTCTCCAGGATACGCCACCCTTGTCGCCGGTCTTCGGGAAACGTCCCGTTGGTCTTTTCGAGTCTTCAAAGTCTCCGGATCGTCCTTAACTCCGACATCTTTGCGAAAGTGGAGAAACCAAATATATTTAGGCGCGAAACACTGACCTAGTCATCTGCGATGTTTAGCCTGGTGCTCCATTTTTTCGGGCGTCCCTTTTGACATCGTTCTCGGAGCCAGGATTAAATACGTTTTCACCTTTTGCGTGGCATATGACTCTCGATGCACACTCCATCGGTGCATCCAGATACGTAGATGCAACGAATGGACTGTACGACGAAGACACGTGGAGGCCCAAAATTGGAACGCATCTTCTATACGTCCTGTCCGCGCACCCCGTGTGGACACCTTGGCGGAAGGGTTAAGCGGATTAAAACGAGCCCAGGGGGGCCAACTTCCTCTGACAATCTGTAACTGCATGAACTCTAAGAGCCGTCCCACTCTAATCGGGACGGGCGGTCATTCGCATCGGATAATGTCCAGGATTAGTCCAAGCAGAGACCGACGTGGCTCGACTCCGGCGCCCTCGTATTTGCCTCGCATGTAAATTAAGCTCGGCCGACGTAAAGGCGCCACCCTGAACCGGTAAACCAGCCCGTGTAAACGGGAGATCCCTCGGTCAGGGGAAACCCGAGCCGAGCGTTTCCACCGGAGCAGGGGCCTCGAAGTGATTCCGCGATGATCTATCATCGAGGCGGCCCCCGAAGTGTCCCGGAAATTGCTCCGGGTGTACTTTGTTCCCCGCGTGGAAACGGCCCCTCGGCAAACGGTATCGCGAGGGCCCGGAAGGAGGCCAAATATTTGCCAGAACCTCGAAATGACTAATGATCGGCAAACACGCAGGATCCCCCGATCATCCTACACTGATAAAAATCCAGGGAAATTTGCATACATTTTTGCGTGCCTCATAAATAAAGGTTTGCATTAAAAAGAAGGAAAAAAAAGAACATCGCTAATTACACATTAGAAAATGTATAAATACGCGTGACGTCGTATGTTTACCGTATCGGGGCAGTTTTAATTGAATTAGATGTAACATTATAGTTTTCATTGACTCGACTTAGTT